AATGAATAACATCAGTCCGAGCGTCGGAAAGGCGGCGAGGGTGGAAAAGCTGGCCGGCCACACGACACCCCCCTTTGGCAGGGTTATTGACATTTTGTCTATCTGGAGGATAGAACTAAGCACAGGACTTTCCCGTTCTGGTTCGCGGTCTCGATCCCATTCCGATTTTCCCCCCCTTTCGTTCATCGCATTTTCCAGCCAGGCATAGCCCATAATTCTCGAGCCTTGATTTTCCGCGCTGCGACAATTTTGCAGGGCTAGGCTGGTCAGTAATGCACTTGCAGAAAAATATATATAGAGGGGTGATACGGTAATCGCTATGAATTCTTTAATCTATAAGGTATACATAGATCAGGAAACTCTATTAAATTAAGGAATTTTCAGTGTTGCAAAAAACCGGAAATATTCCTATAATTTCTGTTAGAAATATACTACATTTTTTATTTATTTTGTTACATTAGTGTCCTAAAGGTTTATACATATTTTTTTTCAAGTACACTTTACTTTTCAAAGAGCTCAAAATATTCAAAAATATGCCAAAATATGCTCGAAAAAATCAATTTATTCGAGTGTTGCTATCGCGAATTAGCGCTCTCCGGCGGGTGGTAACCGGTTGGCAGGATAACGTCGCATTCAAAGGACCACACAGTGCAGTTAATAGTTTTCTGATGCCTCCCCGGGCAAATACACGCGCCGCTCTATGACCTCCGACCTCGGACCTCAGACCTCAGACCTCCGATCTCCCACATCGATAATCATGTTGATGGGCCCTGCACTATTGAACAGAGCTCTATGGGGGCGGTAGAGCAGTGGATATGGGAGAGGATAAAGCCAAAACCCCCTTTCGAAACTATACCCAGATTCGGCAATTCAAAATTCAGAGAGAGAAAGAAAAAAAACAAAAAACAATTCTGTGGGCTCTTTTGCTTTCAATTTTGTGAAAATGCCTGTTTCTACTTTCTGCCCTCTGCTTTGTTTCCACTACATTTCCCCCACTTTTCCCACCTCCCACGGATGACCATGGGATTTTGGCTGTAAGTCGCTCTATTTTCACATTCTGTTGTATGTTGAAACCTGTATGTCGGGGCGGAGGATTACTTTCAGAGTTTATATAGGTCTACGAACATTTTTGATTTTGTTTAGACATTTTTGGGGGTGAATTAAAATAAATAAAAATATATATTTGCTCACTATGTTTTCTATGTTAAAATGGAGCACGAAGCTTAAAGTATATTTAGGGGATTACTTCCAGTTTCGGATAGTTTTTAATTAAAATTGTATATTTACAGATCTTTAAATCCTTTTATCCTTTTTATACTTTGAAAATTACTTTCTCTAAATACAGATTTTGCCTTAATAAATACGTCACTTAATTGATTTTCCATTCACATTTGTCAGCTTTCAATCCCTCAAAACCGAGAGACACAAACAGTGAAAGGATATCGGCCATTAGGGCTGTTGAATCTGGGGCTGGAAAAGGCGTGCTTAGCCACAACCAACTGTTGTCGGAGCCGTTGGAAAATGGTTTAATGCGAACGGATGCACACACGTGTGTGTGTCTGTGTGTGTGGCAATTGGCAGGACCTCGGGAGCAACTCATTAGCGCGAAGGGCGAACAATGTCCGTATAGCATCTGGCCATCGGAACGATCCGTGCGTGTCCGCAATTAAAGTCACGGCGCAGGGAGGAGTCCTCGGAGGGTGTCCTGCGTACCCCAGTGACGCGACAGATTTCGCTAATGACCCCGGAGGGTTGGAGGTATTCGATGGATTCCTATCCTGAATCCCGTGCAGTGCGCAGTCCTATTTCCGGCCAGGCCAGCCAGAACTTCTGTTGATGAATCGAAAAACTACCAGGAATTACATGGATGTGCATGTCAGTGGGTAAATTACGAGCTCATCGCCCACCTTTGCCGATGATGTATCGTTGCCGTTGCCGTTGCCGCCCATGTGTCGACAAGGCTCAAAAAAGTTGTTAATATTTTATTTTGTGGTTGATTATTTAATTACGGTGGTGTGCCATAAGCCACACACACATGAGAAGCGTTAAGTTTGCTAGTAAAATCTGACAATATAAGTGGATTTTGGCATCTTAGTTTGCAAGGAAATGGGAATCCATAAAACTCGTAAATTGCGGCATATTTTTTGAAGTGGCTCTTGAAGTTTTTGGTTAAGATATTTGAGATTTTCGGGGAACTTAATTTAATCCGAAGGTATATACATTATACATTTTTGGTTATATAAAAGGAGTTTAAATTTTATATATTTTACATTCAAGTATGAGAAAGACACATCTCTAAGAATCTAGTTTGGATTTTTAGAAGTTCATTAAGAAATCCCCCTGCATTACACCAATTTTTACTAACAGCTCAATGGTAAATAATATTAAAATATTATAGAGTGTTCAATATTTATATTTATTTATTAAGTGGGGCAATAAAAAACCATCCATTAACGAAATAAATAAAAGGAAAATGGTCATAAATAACCTACTTATATCCCATTCAAACCAAATTTGTTTGCTGTTTTAATTCGTTTTATATTCTTTTATGGATTAATCTATTGTGAGAATGAATCTCGACGAGTCACATTTTCAGTGGGTATTGTCTAGTCACTTCGAGTCCTGACTTTTACGCTTTTATGTTTGTTTTATTCCTTTGTCCTGGACCATAACTTTCGATGAAATTGCATTGAATTGTGGAAATAATCGCCATAAAAATGTTTCGTGCACGACTTGTAATTGGTTTAAGAATTTATGAGGGTTGATTGTGTTTTTCTTTCTTTCTCCTTTTTTTTTTTTTTTTTTTGGTTTTCTTCCCCTTTTCAAGATACACATACAGGCATAGAACAGGTCATACATATGTGTGGGAATCGAGTTAGGGGTTGGGGTGGCTTTATGCCTTGATAGGGGCCATTGACACCCTTTGTTGTTGGGACTTCTCTCTTAAGCTCTTTGTCGAAATGTCATTTGTTTTGTACGCCAAGTGAATTGCCGCTTTTTAAAAATCCTTTCGGGTCAGGATAAAGGTCGATTCTGGGAATGACTAATACGGGAGTAATGCACGTTTAAGGCTCAAATTCATACTTTAAGCCACTTTCCTTGGTCGTGCCTTTGGCTATTTGCTGTGCAATGATAAGGTCAGACAACTGGAAACTTAAAGGAGACAGGTAGATTTACCTGTTGTGAAAACATAAAATATACACTGCGCGTCATCAGATTAGCGCCCCCTGAACATTCTCGGGTAATGTCCAATATTATCCAAACTATCAAGGCTAACGCCATACAACTTTTTTTGACGATACTTTTAATAATATTCTTCAATATAAGATAAGGTACATAATGATAAGTATAACAATAATATTTTATTTATTTGAAAAGAAAATGTATACCAAAAATATGAATTTAATTTTGCGTCATCAGATTAGCGCCTGTAAATTCAAATTTAGTTATTTCGCGTAATTTTTGGCGTACAGTTGTGAAATTTGTTGTGCTGATTAATTGAATAATTGTTTATAAACTAAGAATCAAAATGGGTAAAGGAACTGTCCTATCTTTAGAAGAAAAATCTAAGATCGAAGCCTTTAGTGAAAGTGGCTTATCTTTACATAAAATGGCTGAAAAAATAGGAAAGCATCGAAAAACTATAGCCAGTTTTCATTAAAATAAACAAGGCTATGGTAAAAATATGAAAGGCGGTAACAACAGAGTTCTTTCCGAAGCAGACATTCGGTCTATAGTTAGACATGCGTCTAATTCACACGATTCTTCTACCAAAATTAAAGAAAAAAGCGGTGTGGAAGCTAGCAAGTCCACGGTATTACGAGTCATAAAAAAAGCAGAACACTTGAAAAGACTAAAACTAAAAAAAAAAACACAACTAAATAAGTTACGAAAGGAAATGCGCCTAAATTTTGCTCGCTCGCATATGGCATGGTCGAAGGAGTGGCGCTTTGTAGTCTTTTCCGATGAAAACATATTTAATTTAGAAGGCCCTGACGGCTATAATTATTATTTCCATGACATGCGTAAAGAAGAGCATATGTTAGATCGTTTACATAGCCGGGTAGGTGTTGTAATGGTATGGGGAGCCATATCCCATTATGGCACCTATGAGTTACAATTTCTCACCCCAAAAATGAACGCTGTGGCGTATAATAATCTTTTAAAAACGGCTTTTCCACACTTCCAAAATTGTTTTGGAAATCTTAAATGGCGTTTTCAACACGATAACGCTCCAATCCATACTGCCCGATCTTTAAAATCGTGGATACAGGGCCAAAACGTTGATGTCCTGGAGTGGCCGCCGTACTCTCCGGACTTAAATATAATAGAGAACGTGTGGGGATGGCTCTCGAGAAAAGTATACGAGTCTGGAAAGCAGTATGGTACAAAATTGGAGCTCATCGACGGGATTAAAGAAGCTTTGTCTTCAATATCATTACAATACGTTGAGAAATTGTACGAGTCACTTCCCAGCAGGATCTGTGAGGTCCTGGAAAATGGGGGCGGGACCACCCACTATTAATTTGATTAGAAAATAAGTAAATAATAAGATAAAACATAAAACACTACTAGTTGTTAAGTATTAAGTGAAAATTAATTAAATTTAAGCAGGGGGCGCTAATCTGATGACGCAAAATTAAATTCATATTTTTGATATACATTTTCTTTTCAAATAAATAAAATATTATTGTTATACTTATCATTATGTACCTTATCTTATATTGAAGAATATTATTAAAAGTATCGTCAAAAAAAGTTTTATGGCGTTAGCCTTGATAGTTTGGATAATATTGGACATTACCCGAGAATGTTCAGGGGGCGCTAATCTGATGACGCGCAGTGTATATAAAAAAACATTTCAAGTGCTCGGTGTATTCCTGAATAATTTGCTTAGTCAATTTGCAAATGTAAACCGCAATTTGTCTTGAAATCATGTATTGTGTGTATCTTTCTGTAACGTCAACATTTCTGTTTTCTGTCTTCCTTGTATTTTTCAGAATACGCCTGGCAGATCCAGGCTGCTGACTCCTGCTTCCGCTCCTTCCCGCCAAGAAAGTCCAATGTCAGAGCAATTTTCTACCCTGGCGATGAGAGCTAAACAAATGACACTCCTTCTATGAAGGATAGCAGGCATCTTCCATCGAAATCAGAATCGCAAAGGCAATCGCAGAATGTGTGCCACCAGCGTGGAGCTCGCAGCATCCTGAATCTGAGTAGCAGGAGGGGATTCCTTGGACAGACACCTCTGATTGAATTGGAGAACAGCGGAGGAACGAAGAAAATGCGGAAAAACGCCAAGAAAATGGCGGCGAATCGGAGGCGAAAGAAGACAATCGCCCTACTGACATCGGGACTAAAATCAGTAGTCAAGTGGAAAATTATTGTATCATCCATAATGTTGCTCTTATTAAGTGGGACAAGTGAGTGAAACTCATTTACGGCAGGACTCCCTCTGACTGCTTCTGACACTTTCAGGCCGAATAAATACACCGAATTGTGTGTGCCTGTGGCAGCCAACATGCGTATACGTAATATCTGAACATGGAAACTGGTTACGTCACTAACTAACTTGATGGTCACCTATTTGTTTTCATCATAGAAATGCCAACGTACAGCATTTACTTAAAGTTCACAAGCTTAGCAACTCAAACTGCTATTTTGAAATACAAAAATTACATTACGTATACGCAGGGTGTGCTAGCTTTCATATGTAAAATCAAAATTAAGAAGTGAATTAAGTCGCATCCTTTTTATACCTCTCCTGGGGATAGCTATATAATATTTTGCTTAGTTAAATCGGGCTACTATATGATAAGTCACAATAAATATTCAGAGAAGCTTTTACTTTACTTCAAATATATAGTTTGGTATCTTATTCTATATTTTAGTTACAGAAAAGGTAAAAACAAATCAAATTTATTTATGGAGCTTTGTAATAGCATTTTAATTATTATTTAAATTAATATTTGTCAGACAGAGTAATAATTAGATCATGAATATAATGACGAATGAAGCAGAACGAAATTTAAATTGTAGGTATATTTGTTAGGCATATTTTGTTAAAATTGCTTAGCTCAGTCATACAACTTTTACAAGAAGTAAAATCAAGCAGATAACTTAAAAGGGGTATTTGAATATTCGGCATACTAAGAACAGAAGCTGCCTCCCTTGTTTTCGTTTTGGTTGCATAATTTGTACCCGGGGGAGCTGTTGGGATGCGACTCAATTTACACGACCGGGCGGAGTAAACAATAGTAGAGGCCCTTGAATGGGGCCAACAGAAGGCAGCGACACGAAATAAATTACAAGGATTTATAATTCTTATCTCTCTCTGTATTGCGCTCTCCGTGTCCTTTCATGTGGTGACTCCTGCTCGGCCATTGCCTCGGCATTGTGCTCCTGCCGCTGTACTTCCAATCCTACAAAAGGTCACGTGCTGGCTGTGCGAAAGGGTCGCCTGATGTCCCCCAGCACATTCACCGCCCTCAGCGGGGACCTGCATGTGCAGATCCAGTTCAACGGCGACGACATCTCCAGGCCATTGGCGTCGAAGGAGGAGCGGCTCACCACCACCACCACGGAGCACTCGAGCACCGACTTGAAGACCAGGAACAACACCATAATGAGCACTTTAGTCATTAGCAAAATCATTGATGAAGCGGAGGAGGGCTCGACAGCAAAGGATCTAGTGCCCGTTGCAACCACCAATAGCAGCAGCAGCAAACTGGTGCTGCAGCGCCGGCGCAAGGAGGTGGTCCAGAACATCCCGCTATTCCCGGATCCCAGGTTCAACGTCACCCAAGTGACGGTGCCCTGCCAGACCTTCCTGATCGGCGGTCGCTACGAGATGCAGGTGGTGAGCAATCTGCGGAAGGTGGGCAGGAACCAGAGCGAGGTCACCACCACACTGGTGCCGTCCCAGGATGAGCGCCTGCTCCAGACCCTCGATGTGCGATGGCCCAGTGCCGAGATGATTGTCAGCCCCGTGCGTTTGAAGACATATCCAAAGAATCCTGTGGAGGTGACCCTAAGATTCCCCGAGGTGAACTGCAATCAGACGGGCAGCCTGCCGCTGCCGGAGTTCTGGCTGGAGCTTCTCTACTGTGGCAAGGAGCGCAGCTGCAGTCGGAACATGTCCAGGTCCAGTGTGCTCTTTGCGGAGCAGATACGCGGCTTCCCAAAGAACAAGAGCCTCCGTCTCGGCTGCGAGCTGTTCGGCCTGGCCGGGAACTATGCGGTCCAACTGCGCCCCATGGTTCCCATTCCCTCCCAGAATGTGCCCACCACCCGGCGACTCCTTAGCGTGGACTGGAGCGATGAATTCGTGTTCAATGTGTACGCCCGCAGCATCTTCCCCTGCGATCCACACACGGGCATCGGAGTGCTCTACGAGTATCCGGGCTGCATCCTGGAGCAGGGCGACCGGGTGCGTCTCTATGCCAAGCTGCGAGCCGATGTCGCCTCACTGAAGCCCCCAACCTCGCTGCACTACGTCGCCGAGCAGCGGGTGGTGAAGAGCCAGCACTCGCTCCACTTTGCCTGCGACCTCTTCTCCGAGAAGTATGTGGAGTACTGCTTCGTCTACGTGAGCCAGGCGATATCCGGTGCTGTGGCCGATGTCCGGATGGACTGCGTCCCCACGCTGCCCGTAAGCGGTGAGTTGTCGGCGGCGCATTAACGCCACATTTAACGTCATTTAAAATGAAAATCCCAATTAAAGGCTGTTAACAGATTAATTAACATTTTTCTGCATCTGGCAACGGGTTTAATAGCCTTAAGTTCTTGGCGAGAAACTTTCTTATTTATAGAATTTAATTTGATAAATACGCTGAATACTTTTCAATTTAATAAAACAGAGGTGCATTTTATTCTTTAATTTTTTACTTGAAAACTAAAACATTTAGAAACAAATTAACATGTTTCTTAGGCATTTTCCATTTAAGCTATTTTAATAAGTGAGACATTACTAATAATACTCATCTTCCATAGATTCGGATACTGGAGGCTGGGGACAATGGAGCGAGTGGACACCATGCTCCACGAATTGCCTGGGTGGAACGAGGAATCGTTACAGATTCTGTGACTCTCCACCTCCACGATATGGAGCCAAGTTCTGTGAGGTATGTAACATATATAATATAACATAGTGTGTAATGTTACTCCTATATACTCGTAACCCGGTCGATTAACCTCTGAACGACCTCTGCCTCCACCTGATTTGACAACGTTAATAGTCAAAGTTTGATTGAGTGCTCCGAGAAATGATTAATACTCGCACTCGCACTCGCATCAAGACGATTTCAATAAGTGCTGAAACTACATCCAAAGACAGGCGAACTTCGTCGCTTGACTCCGGGGGATGCTTTCACCTTTACCCCAGAGATGGCTTTCAGTTTAGTTCACATTTCACTCGGGAAAAGTACTACACTAAAGAAATTATAGTTAAAGTTTAGAGTTCAACTTCTGGGATTTATTTTTATTATGAACATAAAAACCTTAATTCTTCACATATTTTATTATTATTGGGATTGGAAGTGAATAATATATTTTATTAGGAAATGTGTAATATACAGGTTTACTAAATATTCGTATATAAATTATTTAGTAGATAGATTTATACTCTTCCAGGGACTTTTAATTTTAGTCAGAAGCTTGTAAAACTATGAAGAAGTCATTTGCGACCCTATAAACCATATATATTCTTGATCAGAATCAACAGCCGAGGCGATCTAGCTATGTCCGGTTAACAAAAAAATTTTTTGAATTTTTTTCAGAATTTCAGAAAAATGATAGGGGGTTAAAAATAGTCAAAAAATTTAATTTTCTAAAATTTCAAACTGAGTACGCAGGTTTATTGAACAAATAAAAACTAACATAGGCATGCATTCCAAATTAAAATTAATGAATTTTTGGCTTAGTTATGAGATTTTTAAGATTTGATTTATCGTTAAAATTGCCATACAGAAATATTGTACAGTGTACTCCCCCAACATCAAACTAGAACTATTCCATTGTTTTTGTTTGCAGGAGAGGTCTGAGGCTTGGGTGGCTTCGGCATGTTGTCTGCGAGCGTGTTTCCACACTGCGACACTTGCTCTAGATTGCGTGGGGAATTTACGGCGCTTCCGACAATTGTCGGCCTACTGCGACTCGCTTTATCTTGTTTCTTTTGTTGAGAGCTAGGAGCAGGGAGCAGAGAGCAGGGAGCAGGCAGCATGGAGCATGGAGGAGCACTGAACCACCACCTCCTACTCCTCCTCCTCCCTCGCATTTCATTATCCAAAAACTTCCGGCATCAGCAGCCAGCGATAGGGGCACATTTGGTTGTACTTTGCCGTTACTTGCTCGGAACAATTACAGCGAAAGTTTTTTAAATGTTCTCCGCACTTATTCCAAGTAGTTCTTACACGGATGCTGGGACACAATGCCATAGCCATGGGGCGGGCTACAATTGGGTGGGGGCGTGGCCGGTTGAACTGGAAATGGCTGAGGGATTTAGCACCACGCGCTTTCCATAACAATCTGCATTTGGCCCAAAAGAATAGGCCAGGGGGCGTTGCCGCTGTGTGTGCCATGTGTGAGCGTGTCTACAAATATTGCCCCACGGGCTATTAATCAAACAAAGCCTCGGCTCGACACACGGCACACCACGGACTCAGTATTTGCTTTTAGAAAACACGGGAATAACCTCTGGTGACCAACGCCACAAACTCAAATTAGTGGTCCGCCACTCCGAGTGCGTTAGCTGCCGGAAAATGCTTTGTTTTTTATGATTTACTCACGAAAAACACACACAATAAATTGTCACTGCCGAAAAACTCATCTATATTCTTTGAAATACAATTTTAGGCGGAGTTCTAACTGATGCTTTGCGAAGAAGAATAGATAAACCTTAAGTTTGTAGTCTTATCTTTACTATAAAGAGTTCTCAAGGGTTTAAAATACAACATATAGTTTAAATCATCTTTATAATAGTAGAAATCCCAGAGCATTCCCAGAGCAATGAGAAGATATATAATTAAGCAAAAGATGCTACGGTTTGCTGTTTAAGGTAATTGAAAATATATGAAAAATGTCCTAAAAACATTTAAGACAAAAATCAAACTAAAATATGAGTAAATATAAGACTAATTGCATTTTGAATTGTATAAATATATGCACAGAAAATCAATCGTTCAATAATTTTAATATCACCCCAAAATGGGTTTAATTCCAAGTGATTAATCATATTAAAAAAACATATTTTGTCCCAGAAAAATAAGTTCTGGCAGCAAAATTAGGTTTACTACGGAAAAAGGTTAATAAACATAAAGCTTTGTAAAGCTTTCATTGCCTTGACAACCTAGACGTGTTGTTATATTTATTCAGACTTCAGTTTTCCCAAACGTAACACAAGGCTGTGAATTAGCTCCATTTTAACTTGAAAAAGTTAACCAAAATTGTTAAATATTTCCCTCGGATACCGAAAGAAAAGTCGCCAAAATGCCGCCGAAGCCAAAAAAGGAGAAAAAGGATCCTAATAAGGTCACCCAGGTGGACAGGACATTCTATGAGCTGACCATCACGGATCTCAATCAGAAACTGGCCCGCCTGCGTTCCCATATGACCACCGTGGATGAGTCCAACATTGCTATAACTGAGAAGCTACGCGAAATAGAGGCCGATGGTGTTGATGTGGCAGCCCACTTGGAGCGCACCTTGGCGGAGAGGAACAACTCGATTACCGAGCTGGAAGAACGCCTGGTGGAGATTACCAAGGTCCGGGATGAAGAGAATAAGATGGCGCAGGAAAAGATTGGAGATCTGGAGGCCAAATACAAGGCCATGCATGACCAACTCACCTCCGAGATTAAGCTGCTCAACGGCAAGCTAAACTCCCTCGATGAGTTCCGCATCCAGCGTGACGTCCTACTGGCCAAGTTCGATGACCAGGAGGCGGATCTTAAGGAGCGGGAAAAGGACCACAAGGAGGCGCTGTACAACATGGAGCAGCGGGCAGTGGTCGAGAAAGATGCCCTCAAGAAGGAGGTGGAACAGAAGCTGCTTCAAGTCTCCGAGGACTTTACACGCTCCAGCGAGATCCGGAATGCAGGCTACACACGTCGCCTGATCCGTGAGAACATCGCACTGCAGAAGGAGATCGATCTGCTGGTGATGTCCCAGATCAAACTACAGCAGTCCTACACCAACCAGAAGGCCAAGCACAAGGAGATGGAGGAGCAGTACAGCGCCCTGGATCAGATCAAGAACGAGCTGGTTCGCAATTCTGTGAACAAGATAAAGATCATCGAGGGCCTGACCCACAACTACGAGAAGCTCAAGGCCAAATACGTGGAGGGATTGCGCTATCGAAAGGCGTACGAGGCGCATATCCAGGCGAACAAGTGCGAGAATGTGAAGCAGAAGGATGCGTTCGCCAAGCTCCGGACTCTGGCCAAGCGCATGGAGATCGTAGAGCTGGAGAACCACAAACTGGGCGTTATCCATGAAAAGCACGAGATCGAGATAGCGCGCCTGCGCGGCGTCATCCAGGAGATCAAGTGCACGGTACGCGATGCCATTGTGGCGGAGGAGGCGGTCAAGGTCTTCCCCGAGCGTTTGGAGGAGGCCAATGTCGATGAGCCCGAAGTGATCGAAGAGGTCCGGGAGGAGGCCGTGGCCGTCTGCAAGCTGAAGCGCAGCGATCTCCTCTCCCAGCTGATGACAATCGTCAGCTCGCATTCGGATAAGCTGCCTAGGACACCGTCAGTTGTCTCTATTGGCAGTGCCACCTCCTCATTGTATGCGCCCGGCAAGATGGGCTTCATGCCCAAGAAGGAGCGCGAGACTCCGTACGCCGCCTTTAAGAGCGAGGTCGTCGACCAGGAGCCGGATCTGAGCATTCCTGAGCACGTGCAGAAGCAGCGTATGCTGGATCGGGACGGTGCACTGCTACGTGGCGAAGGAAACACCATTATTGATGTGGAGTTCGGTACTACGCTCTACGTCTCATCATCCCGCGAGGAAGATATCATTGAGCAGGAGGAGGAGCCACTTGAGGAACCAGAGGGTTCCAGTAGCACCGTGTCCGTGAAAAAGTCCAGCAGCGAGGGCACAGCTCCTGCACCTGCCACCGCTGCGTTGGCTGCATCTACCTCCGCCCACGATGCCGCGGGTGTGCCTACCACCATGGACACTGCAACCAGATCTTCCAAGTTGGCGATGCCGGGAGAGGAGGAGGGCGAGGAAGAAGGCGAGGAGGAGGATTTTGATGTCCAGTTTGTCTACTAGGACTTTAGGTGCTTTACGTTTCCCGTAATTTCCTTTTCGTTGTCTTGTATTGAATCGTAAATAAAATAAATTAAATTTACCATATTTCATTATGTTTTTAACTTAATCAAACTAACGAGCTTTCGAAATTGTTATTTTCATTTAAATTATGTTTTTTTTTTACTTTCAGGGTCCATCGGTAGAGACTCAGAAATGCGGCAAGAGCATAGCCGATACCTGGGACTGCATTTACGAGACCTCGGGCACATCCATAACCAAAACGAACAGCTCGGAAGTTAGCCAGGAAATCGGACCCGGATGTCGTTGTGGCTGCATTGTTCACCTGGGCTCCTCGAAGCCCAAAAGGATCATTGCGGGAGCCACACAGAGCTGTCCTGGTCGCTCCTTCTGGCTCCTACAGGTACGTCATCACTTTAACTGTCCCCTCTAGAGATGAAGAGAGAAATAGAGAGAGGGAGAAAGTAGCGAAAGTTAAGCAAAGTTTTGTCCTTTGGCATTTGGTCAAGTTTTGAGAGCTTCTCAAGTTGTCTGCCGCCATAACTATAAAAACGAACAATGCCAAACAGTCTGAAGTCCGAGTCCATGAATAAAATTCCGCAACGCTTCAGAGGCTGCTCAGGCTAGGGCTGACTGTTGCCCCCCAAACAAAGGACAAAGGATCTTCTCCACCTAATGTGCCATGGCAGAGTGAGCCGGAGCGGAGCATTACTGCCGGCCAAAGGGGGTTGAACTCAATTCATGCATAATAAATGCCCCACTTGGTAGGCGTTTTGGCCAGTCCCGAAAACTATCAATGCGTAAGGTCTATGGGGGTGATTTGAACTCTTCATACCCTTTACTTATAGGTAAAAGGTATGCTGAATAGATGAGTGTATATGTTACAAACATTTAAAGCTTGTATATAGAAATAAGGGTCTAAGATTTCACTTATCATACAAGTTACTATGGGAAATTTTGCTACAGAAATTAATACGGGCTTGAAATGCCTTACAAATAAAATTAATAAAACTATGCTTAAAACAAGTTATGCAGAAAATACAAAGAAATTTGTAAGCACAACATATTATTGCATACTACAAAACAGCTTTTGGGACATTTCTTCTGGACCTCAAAAAGTCCCTTATTTCTGTAGGATTCTTACCTCCCACTGAGTAAAATCAATAAGTATTCCCTGTTCGAGAATGTCCCCTCTAAGGTTCCATTTTCGGTTTCCCATTCTCCCGGATACAATTGGAATGATTAGACCTGCCAATTGGCACGTTTGGTAGCGGGAGGGTCTCTATATGTGCTGATTGGAGGGAGGCTGAATGGTGATGAATGCCTGACCCACTTTGGTAGTTTCCTTCGGATCCAATATGGAATGAGGAGGGAAAAACATTTGCCCGTATGTTCACTAGCAACACACAAAAAATCACCCTTCCTTGCAGGTGGATGGCGAGGAGAGCATTTCGTTGGCCCTGAGCTTCCTTCGCCTGCCCTGTGCCTCCCAGTACATAAAGGTGCGCGATGGACCGTCGCTCTCCTCCACCCTGCTGGTGGAGCTCAATGGCGGCGGGCTGAGTCTCAAGGGAGGCGAAGTTCCGGTGGCCGTCGAGTCGAGTGGCGGCCAACTTCTGGTAGAGTTCTCCGCCGGCGATAGCCAGGCAACGAATACATCCTCTGTGGCTCAGGACGGAAACGCATCCTGCACTGGCGGCTTCATGGCCAGTGTGCAGCAGCAGTTCGGTGAGTGTAATCCCCAGCCGCCGGAAGGCTCCTTGTGAATTTGATTTAAACTGAGCTCTTAACTTCACCACACAGCAACGAGGAGCAGCAATGCCAGCACCACACTTGTTGCGGCCACTCGTTTGGCCGGAAAGAGTCGCTCTAGCGCCCAAAAACAATGACACATCTACGCTTCACTTTGGTCCATCTGAGTGCCATGATCTTTGCCAGCATTATTATCATTATAAGCGCCTTGCTTGGTGGGTATTCCTATGGGTTAAGTATATATTGATTTATTTCATCATAAATTGTTATTCTTTATTAGGTGCCCAGTATGTGGTGCGTTATCGGAAATACCATCTGGCGGTGGCTAGGCGCCAGGACGAAGGCTCCCGCTTGCACACCCCGAGAGCCTCGCTGAGTTCCCTGCAGGGACCTCCTTCGCGAGCCATCTCCACCACAACCCTGCTCTCGGAGGTGATTTACCTGGTAAAGATGAGGCCAAAGCACCACCAGCGGCATTCCATTCTTCGCGAGAGCGTGGATGCAGAGAATCTAACCAGCGAGACGGAATTCAAGGAGACGGATTCGCCAGGAATGCTGGCCAAGTGGTGGGTTCTTTACAAATCACATAAAATATATTGTTAAAAATTAAAAATGATATATTTCAGTGATGAACTCAAGGAAATGGGCAGCTCGGCATCCATGCTTACCCTGCGCAATGAAAGATCCTCGCCAGCGCGATCCCTGGACACTGGCAATGTCATTGGCTCTCCCTCCTCCGGGGAAGCCGAACTGGCAGAAGTTAACAGCCGAGTCGATGACTCCAAGGACTCACCCATAGATGATCCAATGGAGCCGGCCAGCTGCAAGGACAGTGCCCGGGATACAGAGTCTATCATATCCTCGGGCATGAGCTCCTTGTGCAATAGTCCACCAATGAACAGCAAGCGGCTGAGCAAGTATTCCGATCGCTACGATGCGGTGACCCTGAAGTTACTCTCCTCTCGATTGGATGAGAGCCTGCAGGATGCTAGCTCCCTGCACTCTGTGACCGGGTCCCTCAGGCTGGGCCGAATGGGATCGCGCAGTGTCAGCTCTTCCCTGACGAATGTGAGTTAAGAGGTTGCTCTGCCAAGCTTTATATTGTTTTAGTTTCTAGATAAATATATATTTCATGAAAATACCGCCAACTATTAACATCCCTAAGTATTTGCAGGGCTGCTACTCACCAGCCGCCAGTGTGGTCAGCACGGCAACCATCCGGACAACCAGCAATCCCAAGGAGTCCAAGGAAAAGCAGAATCGCAGGAGGCTACTGGCACGACCCGGATCCGAGTTCTCGCTGGGCAATCAGGAGGAACTCGAGCTGGACTACTACGATTACAATGTGATCAATGCAGGCTCGGCACCGGGCTCCTATTTGGGCATGGATCCGGCATATCTGGTATGGATTCCGCCTTTCGAAGAGGTCGCTGAAAGGGAGGAGGATGACAAGACGCCGGAACCGGAACGCGATCCGGACCCGGAGAGGGATGAGCGAGAGCCGCTGTACGAGGAGATTCGCATGCCCAAGTACGGACACTATCTAAGCCCTGCCAGCAACACGGAGTCCAGCAAGTCCAACACGGCGGATAACACTCCCAGCTCTGAGGAGCTATCGCCTCCGAATAGTGGGCGTCCCTCCAAGGCCACTTCACCCTGTGACGGAGGCAAGACCCTGCCCAAGCAGCCCACTCCGTTTATGTCCAGGAAGCAGCGCCGCCAGTCCAAGCAGCAAATTCAGGCCAATCTATCCCTTAGCGCCGGATCCCTGGACAACGAACAGCGATCTGGCAGGAGCTCAAGGACCATCGAGATTGCTGCAGTGCATCAGAAACTGGAGGCCGATTTCGAGCCCAATGAGTCCATGACGGCTCGTATGTGGAAAAGGAGACGGCTGTGGAAAAATCATCGGGGGATCTGCAGGAGTTTCTGGCCCTGGACGACATCCAGTTCGCCGACGAGAGTGGCAGTGACTACGAGGCTGTCAACCTAAAGCAGGTGTCCCAATCGGAGTCCAAGCTAAACCAAGACGATGTGCGAACAAAGCTGCTAAGACGGAAGGAGCCAAAGTCAAAGGAGGTGTCCGTGTAACCCGGAAACTCAATTGTATATAGTACTTATAAAAAGAGCACAAAGAGGGCAGCATATGTTTAGCTATAGTCATACCCAAAATCTTGTAAACTACGGGTTAATATTACATATAAATGAGAAACGTAGACCACCTTGGAGTAATTGTGTTTCAAAGCTCATCTCTCTAAAAACTGTATACTTGTAGAAGTAAAGAACGCACCTAGTCTCAGAGCTCGTATAAGGCTAATCTGTTTAATCTCACGTTACACTGTAAATACTGTACTATAAGTATTTATTCGCACCAAATTATAGAAATCTATTCTATTCACTTAAGGCATTTTAATTGACACTAAAATTGGATTAGGAAATTGGAATTACTTCGAAATTTTGTGATCTTTATTTGTTGCTTGCAAGCATTGGAAATTCTAGTCAATACGAATAGTCGAAATTAATTAGCGTTTGAGATCAAAAAATGTTTTTGTTTTGCTCGGTACTAAGCCTTTTAAACACTTAGATTTTAAATTAAGAAACTTAATAAAAATTATTGTACAGAATATAAAATATTAAAGGCTCTTTAATTGTTCTTTGGGAATAGAAATTGATACAAAATGTATAAGTTATTCGGATGATGCTTTATTGGTCACGGATTAAGAAACTTAGGGACTTGACAAGGATATTTAATTGCTTATAGTTTGCTGGTTAAATCCTTATGGTCTTAATCATAATTCATCAATGCAGCCTTCAAGAACAAGTAATTCGACTATTTTCCTTTGGGAAAAGTAAAAGAATTACATCTCTTGAGAAATGTATTGGTTTTACTTGACGAAGGGAAAATAGAGGAATTACTTCTCTTGGGGCGGGCAAAAATAATGTCCTTTTCCTCCAGAGTATATTGTTTTTTGTCCAGATCACATATTCCAATGTGCCAAGCTCGATTCGATCTCTGAGTGGGCTTATTGCACATTGCCATTTTAGCCCGATAGGCTATCAGTTCCTGTCGTTTTTGATCCTTCCGCATTTGTACCAGGAACGGGGCATCCTTTTCGGGACATCGTATAGCCTTGCACATACAGCAAACTGACTTCTTTTTTAAAGGCTCTTCACGCTTTTCTATTTTCATGGACTTCGAATCTATTTTCGGTGGCTTTGGCTTTGGCTTGCAATATTTTTTAACCACATTATTATCTTTACCCTTTTTGGGACTGTGTTTCTTGTATATATTATCATACGGATAACAAAGTAAGTCGCCCTCTATGATCCCCTCAACATCCAGGGAATTAGTATCAGCATATTCTTCATCTCCATACAGATACTTTTTCAATTTCCACAGCTTTTCCTGGTAGCTGGTGATAGATGTCGATTTCCTGCTGGCCTTCATTTCCATTGAGCGTCTTGTTAATTCGGAATATCTTGTTGGCTGGACTGGCTCAGGTGTGACACTGGATATTTTTGATGTAATAATGGGAGGTTCGTATGCCGAGGTAAGGTTTACCCCACTGTTGTCGCTGATCGGTATCTTATATTTTACATTTAGGCTTGTTTTGCTATTTTTTCGGGTATTTCCTGTTTTCAAAATTCGCTGTTTTTGAATTTTTTGCTACTTGATGGCTTAGTTAGTTTTTTCCGCTTTAAATCAGTTGCTGCTGTGGGTGTTGCCTCTATAATACTTTCTTTGATTTTACTTTCTCTCGTACTTTTGGATTTCCTTTCTATAATACTGTCTTTAGTACTTTCTTTGATCTTACTTTCCCTTGTACTATTGGATTTTTCTTTTATAATACTTTTTTTTCCTTCTTGAATAATTTCTTGGATCTTTGTATTATTGAGTTCTCCTTCTATAAAACTTTTCTGAGTCGTACTATTTCTCAAAGATAATTGGGGAACATGAGGAGAACTCGCCTCTTTGGGAATCCCCGGAATGTATTTTCTCCTGGATTTTGTTCGGATTTTATTGATTTCATTCAATGAGTTATTTGCAAAGCCATTACTAAATTTTTCCCACGAATCAATAGGCACTTTTTGCTTTAAGGTGATTTCTTTTGAATGTCGTCGCTTATTTCTCGTCTCATAAAATTTTTATGAGTGACATTATTGCTTTTATTTGCAACTTTGGTATAAATATTTTTTGAGACCATTCCCGAAGGTCGCTGGTCTGCAGTAGGTATTATTTTAACCTTGTTTGTTTCATTGAAATTGACTTCGGAGTTGCGAGATTTATCTTGAAGTTTTACACTTTCTCTGGGGTTATCCTTGAGATTTTCGGCTTTGAAAGACTCATGTTGAAATGTTGACCTTTCTTTTAAATCATCTTTGTTTGGGGGAGATTTAATTTGAAGCTTGGCACTTTCTCTGGAACGGTCCTGGGGATGTGGGATTTGGGAGAGTCATTCTGAAATCGTGACCTTTTCTTGGAGTTATCTAGGAGTCTCTCTTGAACTGCCTTGGTATCTTTTTTAAGACGAGGTACGTCTTTGGCCGACTTCTGTTGAAGCTTGAGACTTTCTTTGACATTACCTTCTTGTAATCGGGTCTCTGTATTTTGTTTGTTTGCTTTATTTAACTTTTCGTTAATTTCAAATATCGAAGAATCATTTCCTTTGAAAACATTTTTGTTTTGTTTTTGTGGATGTTCACGACGCTTATTGACTTGTGACTTTTGACCTTTTGACTTGGAAACTGATTTGTGGAATTCATTTACATTAGCCCTTTGTTCGGTGCGTTTCTCTCGAGGTTTATAGAGCTCGACTATGGGTAATTTTGTTTCAGCAATTGTTGAGTTCCATTTTTTAACTTTTGGACATTTGTTCTGAGCTGTGGTCTCAGCAACCCTAGGTCTCACCCGATAGATTTCCTTGACAGGAGAAGGCACTTCCGGAGAATCGACACTCTGGCATTCGTTAACTTCTTGTTGGTGTTTGTGCTGAAGATATGCCCTAACGATATCGTAAATGGTTTTGTAGGTACCCTTAGAATGGGGAATGGATTCTGTTTTACAAGCGTTCTTCTTGTACCTGGCAGACTTTTCACAGCTGGATTGGTTCTGACTGTCCTGGAGAATCTGATAAAAGGTATTTTTCTTTTCGCAACAGTTTGATTTGACAGATCTGGAACTTGAGATCACACTAGATGCGGTGGCGACCAGTGGAACTCGGGATGACTTCTTGATCTGAACACGCCTCTTCCTTGGGCCTGTGGGCCAGGCAAGTGTGCCATGATCGATTTTCTGAATGCTGTTCAAAACATTCGAGACTGAGTCTGGCAGATATTTGGCATTCGGATTGATGGGAGGGGGATTGGTGGACCTCTCCATAGGGTTTTTACACGCGTAATTTGGATTATAAAATACTAACAAAATATTACGCTTCTTTTTCCTACGATAAATTTGTAGAGTAAAGTGAAAAAAAGTGATATAAACACCATAGGCTTACTAGGTATATACGCTTAATTTGGAGACTCTACTATGGGGATATTAACTTAGGAACTAATAGAATCGTGGCATTTAAATTCCAAAAATAATCCAAAAGTTACCTCTTTTATTTCAACATATTTTTATTAATAAAGTTTCAGGAAAATATTTGTCTATCGATGAAATGTGGCTCAAAATACAAATAGGAGAGACAGGTGCTTTTGCTTACACATTAGATTTACATTGGTAAATTGTTAATTGATGACTAGAGCATAGCGTATCTTTATTTAGATGCCAACGATGGGCGACATTAATTGGTCCTATAGTGCCTGTCGAGAAGCGTTTTAGTATTAGACTTTAATAGGTACTCGATTACGATCGTGTGGATATATGTATATATTATTACTCTCTATTAACAAACGACTTAGTCTAGGGTAATTGTTTGAATAACGGATTTTAGGTGAAAGACTAATATCAAAAGATCTTATTGCGTTGCTTTGGTTGAGGTCGGAAAGTTTACAATTTCTTTGCAGGCGTTATATATTTTTTAATGCAAGCAATATCTTATAATTTTATTGGAGTTATACTTTGGATATATGTATGTATTATTCAACGGATATTGCAAGTTAAAAGTTGTGCCAAAGCATGGTCCATGTGAGGTATGGCTTTTATATATTTTTAACATCAATATTAACATTGCTATTAACTGCTTACTCACTAGATTGATATTCGATTAAGCAAGATGATTCTGAACTTTTGTTTTTTTAAATTGTAAATATCAATCATTTTTATTGATTTTTAATTACCCAATCATGGATTAGATTTTAAAAAGAGTTAGTGATTGGGAAATGTCTTTTAGTAGGACTTATATTTTTACAGTTTAATTGTCATTTATATAAAATTTAGTTGAACTAGCGATAGTGAAATATAAAAATTAATTTTGATCCCTTGGGCATTTTAAATTGTTAGTTGGTTAAACAATTAATATGTATATATTCATATGCTTAGCTGTTAATATAAAGCGTCCTCTATAATTAACAATATTTTTATGTTTCTGTTTAACATTTTAATTATACACAGACACTTTTGTTAGACGTGAATAAAGCTAGTGAGAGGAGTGCATAAATGGGTTATTCTTATGAATATTATTATTATATATAATTTAAATCAAAAGCTTAAGGGAATGACCAGTAGACTTGATAGAAAGTCTGTACTTTTGCTTTCGCAGAGATCTTGATATAATTTCTTGCCTTCAATAATGTCTAAATCTTTGGTAATATTGGCTAGGAAGAATTAATGTACTTTAATGTTAACATTCGTAATTAATGGCCTTTAAAAAAACATAAAGAATGTGCTATAAATGCGCCATGTGAACCAATTGAGAAGCCTTGAATACATTTCACAAATATTGCCAAAGAAGAAAAGTTATTCCATGTAGTTTCTCTTGAACTATTTTAGAGACTCTCACAATTTATGCCGACTTCTTGGGATCTATTACTTTCGCCTCGCAGTCCGTGGGATCTATGTCGTGCTCCACAACTAATGTGTTCTTTGAGATCTTATCCGCCAGCAGGGTCACAGGATCCGACGCTGTCTTGGCCACAACGGGTCTGCCCGTTGATCGTCGCCTTATGTTCTCGTCCTGCTGCTGCTTCCGGTGGAGATCGCTTAGCCTGAAAGCCTCGAGGAACTCATTGAGATCCACTTTGCCATCACCATTCAGGTCCATCATTCGGCACTTCTCCAGCATTTCCGCCTTGGAATAGGCACCCGGCATATGGGCCACCAACAAATCAATGGCAGTTTCAAACTCATCCAGAGTTATCTCCCCTAAAAGGATATGCAATAATGAGTATCCTGTTTAAACTAAGTGCGTTGCACACTTACCAGAATTATCCGCATCAATGATGTTAAAAATGGCCACTAAGCTGGCTTTGTTAGCATACAAAGCATCCATTACCGAAGTGCCATCAGCCTCAGCTTCCAACTAAATAATAGTATAGTTATTTATTGATTAATAAATAATTTATAAAAGTCATAAACTCACAATCACATCCGTGTCCAGCAGATCCAGAGTCCTGTAATAGTTAACCTTTTGGCTGTCCGTACCCGGGGCCAGCTTATCGCGCAGGAGTCTCCAGGGCAGCCCCAATTTGGTGACCTTCTCCATTACCAGACACCAATTCGAGATGGATATGTAGCCACTATCCTTGGTGTCGCACTTCCTGAACTCATCCTCCAGCTCATCCCGATGATCACGCATCCGCACCGCCAGCTCCTTGAGGGCGGAACTCTCCACAATGCCCATGCGTTGCTTGAACGACAATCTCTTTGTCTGCGAAGCCGCCGATATATACTGAACAAAGTGGGGCATTAGCTGATTGTTCAGTCGGATATAGGCGCCCTTATTAGAACCAATGGCATAGTAGTTGGAAGCCGAGAAAATCGTAATTATCTAGGGAGAAAAAGGAATGGTAAATGAAGATTTTAACAGGTGATAAAACATGTACTTAACAACTTGTTTATCTTTCTAACTTTCGCTTCATCTATTTACAAATTTTGTAAGCACCCAATGCTAAATTATTTACTGATTTTAAACAGAATAAACATTTTACCGTGATTCGTAATAACACGAAATTCTGACACCCGGCAGGTGTCTTTAAAAATCAATAAAATGAAATAACAATGCAGCAATGCTATTAAGCAAACGTACAATTGCACTTAACCCCTTAATTCACTATGCATGTAAATTGCAACCGCATGACAAGCCAAAAATAATGACAAGGGGGTTAATGAGGTGGATGTCTTCATATCAAAAATGCATAAATGCTAATTATGTATATTTAAACGTTCTGCATTGGGTAAGGGAAATGGCAGCTAATTATCTAATGGCAAAATTACCACAAAAGGACAATGTTGTGTTTTATATAATGAGGGTCATTATTGTTGAATAACTTAGCTGGACAGTATAATCAGAGATAAAAATGTAGCAAAATGGATATTAAGGGGCTGACAATTACATGTTTAATTTGAATTATTGATTACTAGGCTAAAGGTTGTCCAATAGATAAATACACACCTTGTTGTCATGCATGAACTCGTGACCATTGGGTTTGCATTCGTGGGATCGAATGACATAGCTGAGCCGGTGGCGCTGAAGGAAGTTATCGGTGACATCCGGGCCAAACCAGACACCAGCACCGCGCAGAGTATTGGGAACACATCCCATAGTGGCCTGTGGATCACTCCACATAATGTCGAAGATCTGTCAATTTACAAAGGATCTTATATAGTTTGCTAATTATAAAAGAATTATATATCTTAGCATTACCTGCTGCCACTCGGTCTTGTCCAGGGGCTCGCCATCCGTGAGTGGTGGCCGCAAAATGGATACATACTGCAGGGAAATGGTTAAAGATTAAACCAATACATTATTTTCAATATTTCCTACCTTGCCCCTATCAATGCTCTTGATAAGATCCAGGCTGGTGCTATCCGAGAAACCTCCATGCACAATGAGCACTCGACTATTGAGAACAGAGCCCAGAGGAAGCCATCGGTAGACTTCGTCGATGAAAGCCAGTATGCGCTTGTGATTTCGCTACATAAAAAAGGATATATATTTATTATAACTCATCTAAAGTTAGGGATATAGAACTTACAGGATATTTGCTCTCCACCTCGCGTATAAAACCATAGCGGGCATTCATAACACTATCCTCATGGTTGCCTCGATTAAGGAATACAGCCTGGGGAAAGGCCAAATAGAGTGAGAGCAGAAGGAGCAGGACCTCCAGGCCACGCTTGCCCCTGTCCACAAAGTCGCCATTGAACACGTAGGGATTGGAAGATGATGGAAGACCGTTCTGCGGAATTAATATTATTAATAAGCTAAGATAAATATATGAAAGTAAAAGTTATACCCACCTTATGTAGCACCACAAGAAGATCATCCAACTTGCCGTGAAGATCGCCACACACTGTGACCTGTTGGGATACAGCCGTGGACACTGGTGAAATATTGGGCAGCTGCTTAAGGGATTTGGCAGCTTCACGTAGGATTAATGCCACATATTTGGGATGCAATCGGTTTCCCTGAAAGTCAAAAGAATTTAGTATTTGTACTCAGTTAACTTGCAAAGTTTTGCATTACCCTTTTCTTGCGGAAGACATCAATCAAGAGATCGATATGGTTCTTTCGTATTGGCAGCTCAATTTTGGCATTCACAATGTCCCCAAACTCCTCCACAAGGTCATCCTTTTCCTCCAACACAGAAACTGAAATGAACATTAATGGAAACTTGAATTTAAGGAGCAGATATGGATGGAGGATGGAGAATAATCCGAACTCACCATGGGCCGATCCTTGGTACTGATTCTTTCTGCCCGCCGCCTGGGGCATGTGCTTAATGAGGTCATTGAAGAATTTATATAGCTGCGAGGGAAAAAACAACACACACAAAAAATACATGGATAATGAAAACAAATTAGCAGAGTGGGTCAACAATGTTTCGACGTGGTTGCACTTGCGACAAAGTTTCACGGCTGAGTTGATTGCCATCGACTTTTGAAACTCTACAAATGCACTCGACTGACGTCGTTCCTCTTGGGCTCTTCCGCGGCGCCTTCACCTGTGGTTCTCGGATAGAATGTGACTCACCTCAGCCTGGTCCTGTTCGCTGGCGTACTCCAGGTTCTGGAAGATCTGCCAGTTGCAACGCCTCTGCATTTCGCGACGGGCCTGATGCCTGCGATACCATTTCTGGATGAATATAGCCGCTCGGATGGCTGAAAGAGTCACGAAATGTGTGTGTGTGAAAATATTTTGGTAAAAATTCCTCGGACTTTGCTTTAGGACTATAAAACTATTTTATGGTGTAAGTGGGGCTTTTTTGTGGGGTTTTTGTGTCTACTAAAATCATCGAGGACAGAGCCATGTGGCAAGTAATATGCAACATTTTGGGGACTTTGTTATGGGCCAATAAAGCCAGCAGCTATTTCGGCGGGGCAAGTATCCCTGCTAACCCCTTGACATTTAAGCCATTGTCGCTTAGTACTCACAGTACAGTACACTTAACGAAATACACACATTTTAATGAGGGAATTTTAGTCGGGACTTGGGACTCGGGTGGCGAAATGATTACTCCCACAAAGTACTTGCCGTTCTCATCCATTTTGATGCAAATTTATTCGTCTGCTATTTAACGCAATGCTGAAAACGTCAAAGACTGTGGCAACTGTGGGAGTGTGGTGGCGTGGTGGCGTGGCAGGGGCAGATTGGGGTTTTCGGGCTAACAACTGATTAACATTTACGCAGCAGCTATAATTAATTTTTGTTTGTTTGCTGAGCCGCTTTAAAGTCTTTACACACTTGTCTCTAGGTCTGCTGGCGAAGGTGACGCGTTATTCTTTCTCAAATTTATGCAACCCATAAGATAGGGCTACGTTAACGCCTCGACATCTGTTGAAAATTGCTATCCGCTTTGGTAAATTTTATGTAATTCGAAACACAGGACTGCACAGGAGTCGCTAAACGGATCTTTCGAAGGATTACTGGTTTTAATCGCACATTTTTGAAACTATTTTAAACCCGTTTATAGTTAAAGAAAAGCTTTATGTATTTTTATTTTGCAAACTCGAACCGATATCGCGCTTAATTTTAATTTAATTTCCGAATATAAACATTTGTATGCAATAAATGTCCTCTGATTCAATTATATTCACTAATGGCTTTTCACAAGGGTTAAGTGGAATGTTTTTTAATCGAATTGAGCACTTGATATTCCATTTGAATTTACACAGCTTTAAGTATTATGTCAAACAGGTTTTTTTCAATAACATTTTGTCCGAAATAAATTTAAATAAATTAATTAGAGTTAATTGAAATGCCATCGAGTGAAATCCGACATGAAGCCTTTTTTGTTGTCCGACGTTTTACATTTGTCCGCAAAACACTTGAGACTAGATAGACGACCGACTGGAACTGGAACCTAAAATTGTTCATTTCAAACGCGATACCAGCGGCCTGCATTCTGTTTGCTTTGCGTTAAATGTTCTTTTTCAACTTTTACCACAAATACAATGGGACCTAAATCAATTTTAGTTAGCACTTTCTGATTAGAATTTAAGAAATTTATGAAAATATTGTAAAAGAAGATATTTTGGAATTTGAAAAAAGTGAAAGCTTTAGAATTTTATGTCCAAGGAAGATTCGGCCTTCTTCATTAGGCTCAACATGTTGCTGGCAACATATTCTTCTGCATTTAGACGTCTTAATGTTATATATCTCATAAATTAGGGCAAAAGCAATTTTCATCTAAATTGGTTTATAGAGTAAAATATTCTTTATGAAAGATATACATTTTAACAAACTTATTACATTGTTACCACCCTGTGTTTGTCGATTGTAGTCAGATTGTAGTCAGCTTTGCATATAGATATTTTGTAGAAAAAGCAACATTTTATGATATGGACAATGTGTGTATGCAAATTTGCTTTCTATTTAACAAAATTACAAAGTAACGGAGGAAAATCAATTATAAAAATATACGTAAAGCCTTAACATCGCCTCTTCCATTGACATATTTAATAGTCATTTTTATACCCTTGCAAGCTGGTGAAGGAGTCATTTCCGACCCTATAAATTATATATATTATTGATCAGCATCAATTGCTGAGTCGATCTAGCCAAGTCCGGTAGAAAAATCAATTTCAACATTTTTTACATCGTTAAAATTGTCAAAATTTGACAAAAAATTTAGTCTTTTAAATTTTAAAACTGAATATGCAGATTTGTTAACCCTATAAAAACTAGCATAGGAAAGCTTTCCGAATTGAAATGAATACATTTTTGACTAAGTTATGATATTTGAAAAATTGTGATGTACCCAAAATTATAAAATATATAATTTAATAATTTTATAACTATATTAAAACATATAATAATATAATAAGCATTGCCAAATCGCTAGAGAATGTATAATCATTTACAAACGTTTCAAAATGCTGCTTAACAACCTATAACTTTAACTAATCGTGTAAGTGATACTTTGTCGCTTCTATCCAAGATTTAATTGAGTGAATATCGACCACTGTGCTGGATCCCCAATTACCAAAACAGTGGTCTGGGGTAGTGGGGCCACCGACAACCTTTCCCTTTTTCCAATTTGCGTCCACGTCCGCGTGCTTGTGGGTTAATTTCTGGCTGCGTGACTGACGGAGACTACGACGTCTACGGCGTTCTACTTGCTGTACGGGTGTATATTGTGTATATGGAGGTTTATGGCCAGGTTCTTACTAATAGCCAGCTGTCCGGCCAAGGCGGCTGCATGAGGTTTCTTTTGTTTGTTCTTGCCCTTCCCGGTGTCGTGGCTCCGCCTGTTTAGATCCACCTGAGCCGTTTGTATAGCAAATTGGAACAATAAATAAAAGTTAGCGCAAGCGCCGGAACACGACCACAGACATGGTACCTCCCTAGCAATGTCTAAAAAGTTGGCAAAGTTGGTAAAGCCGGGAGAAGTCGCAAAAAGGCCAAATGCAACTGCAATACAAGGTCCTGAAAAGTCCTTTTTAGTTGCTGCAACCCCGAATCCTACTACCCAACGCGAATGAACCCATAAAGTTGGGCTTAGCCCACTTATTATGGATTTGGGGCACAACGTGGAAGGCCTACAAAATTAAATTTGTGGCTAATCGCTTGGAAATTCTGAGCGGCTTTGTTTTAATAATTCTGAATAATGGCTGGGACAATTAAATAAAATAAATGCTAATGTGGAGCAATTTTTCAGAAACATTTGGCTTTTAAAGTTTTAATCTTAAACGCGCCATAATTGTTAAGGAAAACGAAAATTTAAGGCGTATATGTACGGTAAAGAATTTTAAAGGGTCAGTTATAATCGATTATAAAGATTTCTGTTAGGGTTTTACGAGGGGATCGCCCTCGCTGTTAAGCTGTTTTCCCAGGTCAGAGACCAAATGCAAAGGGTTATCAGCCCCAAAGAGCTTTTATTATGCGAACCCTGGAAACCCTGGTAACTGGATTAGGTTTGTAGGCAATTGTTGGTTTCATTGCCTGCTCTGCACAAAGCCCTATTAACAGAACAAGTGAATCTACACAGAGAGAAATTAGATCATAAATAAAACAAGGTACTTTACATTTTAAAAAAAACTTTAACCTTATAAGAATTAAACTTGCTACTCTTATGGTAATGTTTACCTTGCAAAATTGTGTTCTACTAAGTAGTTCAGTTCGAATTATCAATTTAATTTTTGTTAAGATATATCTAATATTTTAATAGTTTTGTTAACTATAGATTTTAGACAGCTGAAAAGTCAACAGGATGAAAAGAAGTACTAGACACGATCGAAACACTCTTTCTTTGACCCAACAAATATCAAATAACGTAAAGGAATATGTGAGGAATTATACTTCTGGCTTAGATAGATTCTCTGTGAGCAAAAAGCGAGAATATTCGGTACCCGAGTACCCTTTAAAGGTCACCACTCGCCCTATAGACCAAAGATCAAAGCTCTCTTTCCCTTGCAGATACTCACTCTTTTCAGCCCGGGAAGCGCTCATGCCACGGAGCGGCTTGCGGAAGTGCTTGCACCAACCTCGCCGCTGGAAGAGCTGCAGCAGACTGGACGCCCTGGTGCTCGTCTGCGCGGCAGTGGCCTGCGGCTGTCCATTGGGGCCCAGCGTCTGCATGCTGGCGCCCACGCGCTCTATTTCCGACGAGCGGCATGAGGAGGCGTCTTCCACGGAGGAGCTGCGCCGCTTCCCGCCATCGTCGGTGCGCAGGCATACGCAGCTGCGTAGCATTCCGGCGGACTAGCTGTAATCCAAGACGTGACCCCAACAGTGCCTCTCAGTCCTCCGTCTCGTCCGCCTCGAGCTCTCCTCCGGCCCTGAGTGCTTTCCTCACTGGGATCCACACATGAGTGTGCGGGTGTATGTGGGCTAGAGGGTGTGTGGGGCTTGGACTTGGGTGCTGGTGTGGGCCGGGCCGGGCCAAGAGGTCCGCCTTATGTCACTCGCCTGACAAGGTAATATAATTTGCTCCGGCACCCAAGCTCATGGGCATGGGCCAGCGCCTTGTTCGTCCTTCAAATGGCTGTCAGTTGTCGGCGGCTGAGGGATGGTTGGTGGTGCTGAGGGATCCGCGGCGTCTGACGGCTACAACTACCACTGCTGCGTTCTTGGTCTTCAGCTCTTAATGCAAATTGATTTTATTTTCGCGTAATTTATTCATTCCGCTGTCGCTGATTGCGCCCCTCATATTCCATTGTGCCAAATCTGCGTCTTGAATCTTTCTCTCTTTCTTGGCTGCAAATAAATTGTCAAAAGAAGGCGGTATAAGTGATTTTTCTCAGGACTTGTCTTCGAAATCCTAAGTAAACTTTTGCAGGTCCTGAACAAGGACTTAAAACTTAAACTTAAATTAGCTGCGGATTTATTGGAGCAGCACAAATCCTGGTAATTTATTATTGCCAACTCAACCGCGATGACGTGGCTCTGTAGTTTGAATATAATTATAGTGTGCCTTGCTTGTTATTTATGATTTTATGAGCTCATTTTGGTTATTGTTAACACCTCTATTTAGGGTACAATTCATGGTCAATATGCTAATTCTCTTAATTAATGGTAGCAGGGATTAAAAGGCATATTTAAGACTGGTTTTAGGCAATCTATGCTTCCAATTATTTAGCCAAAAAGTAAAGTAAACTTTAATGGGAAAAGAACTGAATTGTCAATGTATTTAATAAACGACGTGAACAACAAGTTGACAGAAATGTAAATTAATTGTGACTCTGAAAAATACATAAAACAAAAACTGAATTTGTGATAAATTGGATTATTCGGATTACGAGCAATTACATTTTAATAAAATTAATTATATTTCCTAATATTCTACAAACAACTTAAACGCAGAGAGGATATGTACGTTTTCGTGAGTCTATTGTATCAAAATAAAACCCAACAAAATATATCCAAAGAATATCCACCTAACATAACTCCCACAAGGACATGCAAATGATGGCCCAAGGAACCCAGAGGGAGAGTAGAAAATAATAAATGCATGCATAGGTGATTACTCCTGAAAGGCAAAGAAACATATGTAATAAAGCTCTGAAATTATGTATGGAATCAATTGACTGCTGCAGGCGAAGGATGCCAGGATGGAAGAACGACTCTCTGGTCAGGATGATGCTGATGCTGATGTCCTCCCCGCGTTTGTTCCACCATTTATGTTATCCTTTCACTCCCTGGTTGTGGTGTTGGCGGCCCAAAAGAACCATTCAACCGATGCGCGATTACTATAGTGTATACATATCCATAGATATATGTAACATATATGTGCTCTGGCTCCCTATTCAGGGGAACGTGAACGGGTTGTGGCCGAGTGCCCGAGGTCCTTTGTCCTCGATGCCTCTGTCAGCTTCTATGAAGCCAGTGCTCCCTTGAGTGGCTCCAGACAAACAAACCAATTTTCACCAATTGAGCCATAAAGCCACACACAGAGACCCACAGAGAGACCCACACCGATGCCAGATCCACGAAGTGTGAAATTAAAGTGCTAACCTGTAGCGGCACAAGGACCAAGGACTTAACAGATGGCGGTGGTGTCCTAAATATAAAGGCGGCGTGGAAGGTGATATTGATTAATCGCTGGAAACATAGTGTCGAGTGAAAAAGCACAGGAATGGCGTTTTAATATCATTTTCCCAACACTTATTATCACATATTTTATCGCCAATCTTGACAAATGGTTTAGTGAGAGCTTTTACTGGCAACAACAGAATTATCTTACGTGTGAATTAAATAATTGAAAAGAAATAATCCCCAGATTATGGTTTTTTAATTGTATTCTAAATCGACAAGTAAAAATAAGTATTTTAAGGACCTTTAGAGTCCTGTTCATTTTAATTCCTATTTTCTATTACAGCTAACATTAAAATTCCTGTTTTCAACTTAATTTGATCTCCTTAATGGCTTATAAATAAAGATAAAGTCTTGAGCGATTTTTATTTAACGCTTATCTGAATAATTCATGCAGATCGGTTGCCAAGCTTCCAGGTATGTAAGTATCTAGGTGTGTGCCATTCTTTGAACTGTAATACTCATGCAAATTTCAATTATTACATCCTGTAGCCAAAGATTGAGGAACTTAGGCAAAGAAACCACTTGACACCCCCACTCAGTCCACAAAGAAGTTGGCAGGTAAAATGTTTTCGAATAAAATACAAAAATACAAAAGGCAAAGAACCAATAGACACCTAACGTTGGCTGTGCTTTTTGCACTTTGCCCCCCAATGGCACTTTCGGCGAGAAAATTTCGTTAGGAAAAAATGTAAATGTAGCGGCGAAAAACGGGCGCGAGGCTTTTATCGAAATGTAATTTGTCTAAAGTGAAAATGACTTACAGCTTAAATGGCTTAAATTCTTTAAAGGTTTTTATTCTTTTGCAATTTTTCCCTTCTTTTTTGGTCACTTTGGGTAACTTTGAAATTGAATATGGCAGGGAGCCGAAATAATAAATCACTATTAAGACGCGGGCTGGAAATATTTTCAGAGACCAGAAACAATAAATTTTAAGTATTTTTATTCAAGTCAAATGATGAATGCTGCATGCTGTCCCTGTCGCTGATGTTTTAAGAGCAAATTTAAATGAATTAAAAATGATTTAAGTACGTTTATAATCTGTTATCAGACATTTTAATAAATATTTTGGTGGCTTTCTATGATTTTATTTCGGGAATTTGTATTATATTTTGTATAGAATATACAATATAATCTAGTACATAAATTGTATACTTAGTGTAGAAAATACAAATTCTTGAATACATTTACAGCCCTTGCAGGATCCCAGATAATTTTCAGTGTTCTGCCAGTCATCAGCTCAGATTCAATATAAAATTCTGAAATTTTGTATTAAGCCCATTGAAATCGATTTAAGTTTACTCTAAATAAACAATATACTTATTCAACATTTTTCTTCAAGGTTCTAACATCCGTGGCAAAAGGCACCATCGATTGTATTCTTATTTCATAAAACCATCAAAGTATAAACCAATTAACGCAGTTGACAATGATGAAATAGGTTTTTTGATAGATTTGAAAGGAATCCCAAGCCAAGAATCCCATTTTAAGGACAACTCTATTTATTTCAATTACCACAATGAACTGGTCAATTTCCTGTTTCCGTGCCAGCGGCTAGTGTCCTGGGTCCTGGGTCCTCGGTCGTCGGTCCTGGGTCAAGACAGCCAGATAATGAGATTATCCGCCAGCACATTTGCAGACGGGAATACGTTATTTGTCCATTAATCCCACGGCAAAGAGCGAGAATGGACACTGGCATGGACTAAAAGGTCCTGCCAACTCATGGACTCAACTTTTCCCAAACCCCCGACCCCCTTACCTCCGCTTTTCCACACTTTCCCCCACATTTTCCCTAGTGCGTGTGTGGAGCGTTCAAAAAATGATTGTTGGCCTGACTCAATTACGATAAATTGCATGTCAGCCTGTGTGACAATCAGCAAATTTGCCCGCATTTCAGCTCAGCAAACATCGCTTATGGAAGCCGAAGCCCAGCAGCAATTAAGTTAGTATTTGCAGAAGATAATGTTTCAACTCGGGAGTCGCTGGCTCCCCAAATGTATGGGTAAACATAATTTCTTTAATACCCATATATATATTTTTTTTAAGTGGGAGAAATCCAAATTGTTAAAGCCCTCAAAATAAGCCTGAGTGCCCTTTCGAATTGGTTTCGTGGAATTTGTACTGATATCAATGACAATTAATTAATTTATAAATAAATTTCTATTTCTGTGGAAGATAATGAACCTATTTTGAATAAATTTTATTTTATTTTTATATAATAATTATTACAGGGATTTCTGTACACAAAACAAAGTTCAAAGCACACGAGAACCTTACCACTTTCTTTTTTAATTGTATTCCCAACTGTGTTTAGCATCAAGCTTAAGTTATTCTTTTGCTAGTATAATGTTCCATAGTTTAATGTAGCTCTTAGTTTAGAATGAAATAAAAAAATTAAGTGGTCTGTCTTTCTCCTGAACTCAACAGACAAAACATATTTTGCCACTAAAACAATGCAAAACCTTTTGCAAACCCTTGAAAGATGTGTGATTGAGTTACTTATGTTCCTTAAAGACTCCTTGCTTTGTGTTAATTTTCCAGAGTGCTACACTAATGTGCTCTCATTTTGCTCTGGACCCCCCTTGAAATAATTGAGCTAATTATCGGGACTGGCAAGGTCGGTCATCAAATTTGTTCACTCAAATTCTTCGACAGGTAATTTAGTTTGCCTACGCTTTTAATTAAGTTGCCGTAGTCAACTTGACGGAGGGGCACGTATCTGGTGGGAGATAGAGAGAGATACAGGTGCCAAGGATCTGCTAGGACCTGCATCACGCATTACCCATAAAGATTTTCCGTTCAGTTTTACAATTTTTACTGCTCGCCGTCTCATTTGATCCTTTTTTGGGGGAAGCCCATTAACGAAGCTGCGAAGGTTTTAACGACTTTGAAATGATGTCAGCTCGGATGCTGATGTTCGTCATCGTTAAAGGCCGATTTGTTCTTTTTTATTTATAAACCAAATTGAGAATTAACGGAGATTGGGCGCTGGGAGCCAACAACACCTCAGCCATATGGACAGAAATTTGTAGCCAGCTGTGAGAGAACCATGATTTATTCACCCCAAGTACACTTGGAAAAGCGGCCTTTAAGGCTTAAACGGATATGGGAAATCCTTGTGACGGGGCATTTTCCGTAAAGCAGTTCTTTCCATAAAGCGCTCTGCGGTTTAAAATTTTACGAAAAGAGTATTTTTAAATATGTATAAGCTTCATTGCTTCGTTTATGTGGCGATCCGTTGAGTGCGGGTGGGGAAAGCATTTTTATTTTCTTTTTATATTTGATGACTGCACAATTTGGTGAAGGATGTGAAGGAAAGGTAGCATTTCCACAGCTGTAAAACGAATCTAAACAGGAACACGTTTATGACTTCCGTGCGATTATGTGCAAATGGACGTAAGGACTTGTATATACGTATATGATGAATCAGAGGCTAGCCTTTTTTCGGCCAGTGTAGCTGGAAACGGCGAGCAAACACTGCGGCTTAATTGCCATGGAAAAGTATCCAAATACCGACCTGATGCCGATGCCAACGCCATCGCTTCGCCTTCGTTTTGGTTAACAAATCAGGCGTGAAAATGACGGCACCTAGCTCCGCAGGGGATGGATGTAGCTAAACTGCTTAATTTAATCGATTTTCGGTAAGAGCTTTAAATTTCTTATCTTGTTTGCCTAAATAAATGGAGGCATTTGGGGTCCCAGCGGAGGATGGGGTTTGGTTTGGAAATTCCTTTCGTCACAGCCTTTAAATAGAATTCGCTGATAAGACATACCAGAAAGCATTCCTTTGGCTTACAAATATGTTTCTGCTTAAATTAATTGATATTCTCTAAAGGTCTTAAGAGGCAATGAACGTCAGCATTAACAATTTGTTTAAATTTCAGTTGATTGCTAATTTTCATTTTGTTTGTCAGAGCAGACGCCATTATTTCCACAATAGTGTGCAGTCTGTTGTAATATTTGTACAATAAAATAAATAGTTGGTTAACCAAATAAATTAGGCCAATTTATAAGACAAAGGTTTTGCCAAAACAAACTATACTTTTGTTCATTTTTTTTTATTTTATATGGAAAGAGAGCCTCCTAAAAATGTCCTAAAAAGTCCATTCCTAAATTCCCAGAGCATCCTGGTTAATAGCCTTAAGTTAATTGCTTTTTGGTTTCAGTCCAATTCCCGTGGACTGCCCGCAAAGGCAACTTTTGGCACAATCAACTTAATTCAAGCCGACATTGTGGCCAGAATCTTGCCACAACTTTGTACCGAATTTAAATGACTCCGAAGAACTTGGCATTTCGTGTTTTGCGCCAACTCCGGGAACAAGGCAACTTCGAGTGGCTCCGCTCCACTCCTCGCTGCTCGGCCAGCGTGGAAATTTCTGGGATAAGAAAAAAGGAAACCCATAATAAAAAAAAAAAATTAAATCGGAAGTGGTGAGTATTTTTGGGGCTGCTGGTGTGTCGCCCCCAACAGAAGCCGTCGGGAATTCGTGCGAAAATATAAAAAGAACTCAACCGAACTGTGGGAAAAATAAACGAAATCACGAATATATATACATATATATACGTATAAGTATAAGTAAATCCCGAGGAAACAAAGGGAGCGAAAGGAAAAGGCTGAAAATCAAATGCCAAACGTCAACGAGATTTGTTGCCTGTGCGGCGCATAAAACTCATTTCTCACTTTTACAACCTCTCGGAGGTGAGCGGTTGCTAATCTTCCGCCGGTCCGCCATCAATTGGCTCGCCTTGCCCCAAAAAATCCCCGCATCCGGAACCGGATCCATATCTCCGAGTGGGTTGGTTACCCAAATTATGAGTATGGAATTCAGAAGAGCGGTATACACATATTCTTACTATACTGCCTAATAAATTCCAACTTGGATTCAATTCCCATTCCCATTCAAACGCGTTGAGTCCGTGCGTCTGTTTTTATGAACACCTCAATATTTCGGCTGTTACTTTTTACGAGTTTTCGTGTTAACAAATTGGCTCCATATAAAGTCTACATAGTTGCCTCTTCTAAGCTAATAAAATAAATGTAGGCCAAGTGATGGCACAGAAGAAACATAAATTAAACCAGTATAAAACTGCATAGTTTTTGCTATTTAAAACACAAACAAATTGAGTAATAAACGAAATAAGGATTGTATACTTAAGTACAGAAACAATTAAAGTTTGGATGATTTTAAAATATCACCGAATCAAAAGTCACAAAAAATAGATCTTTCTCAATTAAAGTTTCTTAAATAATCTACAGAAATCGGTGAGGATTAACCTCATTTACATCGTATACACTTTAATGCATACTTTAAGAAACATTTTCAAGAGCTTTATAGCTTATTGCAAGTCACAAAAATATATAATTTGTTAGCACACACACTTAACGCAACACCAAACGTATTATTTAAAAGAAACACACCCCTGTTCATTCTAGTTTTTACTAGTCAGTCAGTTCACCTAAGAGAAAGTATTTTATTGTTTTGTTGTTCTTATGGTGCTTGCTTTTAGACCACTGCACTTGTCCGTCCTCATTTTCTTAAAAAAAGTTCGCTATAGCCTAATGGGGAAAAGATAGGTCAGCAGTGTACATAGTCTCGCATAACATATATCTTAGCACACACTTGTCAAGGCTGATGATATATACAAGTACTAAACATACAGACATACGAAATGGATAAATGGATTGAGCAAATATTGCGTTCTCTTGTGTGGAATTCGGAATACCGTAAGTAATTCATATGGCAAACACCTTTAGAACGTAATGGAATCGTTTATATATATATTATTAATTGGCCTGCATGTCTCGTTTCTTTTTCTGCGGGCTGTCATCACCTTTCGTTTGTCTGTTCGTTTATATTTTCTTTTATTTCCATTCAAGAATTTCTCCCGCTTACCTTTGTCGGTCTTGTTTTTGGCGGACGAATTTTAAAGTTCATTCATACACAGGGCGGAAAATGGATGAGGTATATTATATTTTTTGATATACACTAAGCACTATACAAAAGTTGTTCATTTATAAATACATTCTCTTATGTATTTAATTATCATTTGTTTTATACAAATTAACCCATAGATTTAATTTCATTAATAGGTAAATACAACATAACTAGTGTACCGATTATGGTGACATTGTTTTCTTTTCGCTCTGTGTACCTCTGTGATAGATGGGACTATTTATATGTATGGAACGCCGGGGAATGCAAAATGGATGTATGGTAATGGGATGTTCATATGTATTTTCGAGTGCTTCCCGGCCAACGTTGCGTCGGTCGTTTTTAGTTCTGTTTTCTGATCCCATTTAATGCCTGGAATTTGTAAGTAATTTACCAAACGACACACTAAATTGGCTGGCATATAAAAAAAGTGATTCAGTTGGAAAGTTCTGTGGCATTAAGGACATCTCTGTTGTGTGCCGCCCCGCGCATTCATGATTATTCCAAGTGGCCATAACGTGGAAGCGTGAGTGTAAACAAACACAAAAATTTCATCGGCGGCAGAGCAGAGATAAACGGCGGCGAAGGAGAACGAGAATCATATACGAATATATATGGCATAAGGCATTAAATGAAGCCAAACACAGAGGAAATGCTTGTGGTGACAAATATAACAATAATAACAACAACAACAATAACGACAACGACAACAACACACACACCGTGGCATATGCTGGCTATAATTCCGAAATAGCGCGCTGAGCGGATGGCATTACGTATACGTACTGTTGTACGAAAAGGTCGCGTTCCGTTAGTCTGGCGTCCGCAGCGCATGAAATACCGTTACAAACTGACGCAGGCCACAAGCTCGGAAATCCTTTTTGGTCGCTGCTGCTGCTGCTGCTGCTGCCTCTGCCTCCGTCGGCGGCGCAGCTATCCTCTCTCTCTGGCTCTCAGCAAGTGTCGCCAAATTCTGTGAAAAGCAAAACAAAGAGCGATGGCCGCATCAGCTGATTGCCCCGTTCCATTGCCATTTAACATTCACTTCGCACCGGAGGCTGCGCGCGTCTCTCTTGCTCTCACTCCCACGCATTGCGGCCGGCGCGCTAAAAGAGCACGAGGAGCGAGCCACAGCATCGATGATAATCGTAAAAAATGCTAAGTTTGATAACGTCCCGAGCTTGTTTGCATTTCGAATTTATGATATGCATCTGGAAATTAAAACTTTAACGCGACATGACGCGGAATGCGAAAGATTTGTTTAGAGAATGTGATAAAAGAGGAAACAAAAAATGAAACTGTTAATTTCGGAGATTGCTTATATCTATAAAGTGAGCCATGAACATGATTAGATGTACTAATGAAATTCCACGATATTTGAAAGTAATTAAAATTCTGTCTAAAATAAGCAAAACAATGGTTTTTCATGCTGCTTATTTTTTATTATTTTATCAGTGTGCTTAAAAAAGAAAGAATCCTAGTTTTTAATTCAGAAACATTTCTAAGAAAATTGATTGAAATGGCACCTAGGAATACAAAACAAAATGGCCATTTCCTGTTCATGTAAAAAGGCCATGGCATCAAAATATTTTAAAGCATACTTTTTGACGCTCTTATGACTGAAATGTTTGGTGAATTTTAAGGCAGCAATTAGATTTGTTCCTTGATCAAAAAAGAGTAAGTAAAAGTATTAAAAAAAAGAAGTCTAGTTTTTAATTCAAAAATATTCCCAAGGAAATTTATTGAAATGGCGCCTACGCATACAAAGCAAAATGGCCATTTCCTGTATATGTAGAAAGGCCATGGCATCAAAATATTTTAAAGCATACTTTTTGACGCTCTTATGATTGAAATGTTTGGTGAATTTTAAGGCAGCAATAATATTTGTCCCTTGATAAAAAAAGAGTAATGAATAAAACTTTCTTATTAAGTATGTTTACAATTTTATAATTTTGAGGGCAAATAACAATCGTCTGCTAATTAGTTCAAAGTAAATAAGAAATGAAAATCTTTACTTAGAATACACCAAAAAACATAGCTGTACTTTGAAATATTTGGAAATACACTTACACTCAACAGCTTTGTTTTGGTTCCTTTGTTGTGTATTGATTATTTTGGTCGGTTCCATGGCCTTTATGGGTGCCATATACGCCGTGTACGTATAGTCCAAACGACAAGCCAAGCCCTCGGTTCAGTTTAGGCCACTCGATGTGATTTGGGGCTGCGGCCTCGAGGGGATTTTGTAGCTGAAATTCACGAAACCGAAAATTAGGGCTGTCCCCAGCTCCTTCACGGTGACCCGGTTTTAGGTTTTAGGTTCTTTAGGTTTTAGGGTTCTCGGTAGCTTTAAGTTTAATGGCAATTAAGGTCCTGGGCAGGCAACCCGCCATTAGTGATTACGGAATGTTGGGGCCGGCCTCACTTCACATTCAGTTAGCGAAGGTGCGTGCGGTACAAGTTTCCGGTGCAGCCTGTGGGGAAACTTCTCTGCATTTCATGAATACAAACAAGGTGAGCTAGCAGAAGATTCATTCAGATACTAATCTGCCACGGACACGTCTCCTTGAACGGACTGTGGAAATGCGAAATGCTTCCGATACACGTCGATTCAGTTACGGATTAGTTAGTCCTTCTCCCGGACCCGTAGATTAGTTGTTCGTTCGACTTCCGTTTTACTGGTATTTCTTTAAGACGGAAAACTGATTTATAGGTTAACCATAAATAACAGAAATTATACATTTCTCCTACTAACAATTGTAATGACCTCTATTTTCCTTTGATTTATTTTCAGACACTATAAAATCTTCGATTTTTAAGAATCAACACAAGGAGTAATGCCTGTTCTCTGCAACACACTGTAACTATTTGTTTACATTGTTGCCCAATATTGAATCCGCAGGACTTGTTCAAATACTACCATCGGACACAAGTGAAGAATAGGACTAGAGCACTCGTGGATATCCGAAAGGTCGCGTGTGACTCGTCGCCGTTGTTCTTATTGGCATCCTCATCCGGTTCCGCGTTCTGTTTTGCATATTCCCGTGCTAATGGCCGGTTGGTCGCACGCCACAACACTCACCTGAATGGACAAATGTATGGTCAGGTGGGACCTCTCCTTCGTGCTGGCATGCCATTTAAAAATAACCCATAAACATTTTGCTCAGTCTTAGTATTTAAAAAATGGGTTGCATGCGAATTTTTTAGCAAATATCGCACCAAAGTTCAAAAGTGGCTAACTTAATTAATGTAATGTGTAGGGCAATAAAAGAATTTTGAGTGCTCTGCACTTCAGTTAGGAAAAAAGCACTGACAAATAATTAAAGGTTCTGACAAATGACCATAGAATACAAACCAAATATTAAATTATAAAAAATTATAATTTTAAAAAATTATAATTATAATTATAAAAATATAAGGAAAGTGAAAAAGGCAGGGAAGGTATCGTCGGAAAGCCGAAGTCTGGATAGCTGTTGGTGCTGATCAAAAATAAATATGGCTTCAATGCGCAGGACGCTTTTTACTAAAATTAAAATGCCTTGCAAGGGTACAAAAATGAATGCTTTAACAAAGTCATTACTATTTATTTTAAAGTAATCCGAGGGACAATTTTTCTATTATTATTTTTTATTATTACATATTAGGAAAGATAAGACTGAATATTTTTGGTAAAACATTTTCTTTATATGTATATGTACATCTGTCTGACCTTTCAAAAATGTGTCCACGATTGTCATTTTTATATTAATTCACATAATTACAAATTAATAAAAATAATTGTCTCATTTCATCGCTGTTGACACATCACAGTTGGAGATCATTAAGTCCAAGTGAAGAGTTAGGATCTTCCTGCAGGAAGTTGTCAAAGTCAATTATGATCTCATTCTGTCGAGGTTGGTGTTTTTTGTACTCCACACCCACTGCGTCCAGCATCCGCTTGGAAGCCCTGTATTTGGGCTTTTCTGCATATTTATCGGACAAATAAAGAATCTGTGCTATGCCTGACTGCAAAAACATAAATGAATATAAATAAATAAGACAACCACAGAGATTTGATAATTACCTGTATGATGAGCTTGGTGCATTCATTGCATGGAAATAGTGTGGTATAGAGACGGGTTCCAGTCAAACTAGCTCCATTGCTGTTGAGTATAGCGTTGGCCTCCGCATGGACCACATACATCGTCTTGTCCTCCAGCGGATCATAATCATCACTGCTCTTCTTTGCTTTAGACCATGGGAACTCATCGTCGCTGCAGTTACGGGGAAATCCATTATAGCCAATAGCCACGATCCTATTTTGCGAGTCCACGATGCAGGCCCCAACCTGAGTGACGGGATCCTTGCTGCGCTTCGCTGAGAGTATTGAGGTGGCCATGAAGTAATCATCCCAATGCAGGTAGTTATTTCGCTTATGGCTCTCAGGCGCTTCCGATTCAGGGGCAATGACATTTTGAAGGTTGGACTCTTCTACAGACATACTAAAATAAATATTGATAAGGTTTATGAATGAATGAAGCAATTCTATTACAAGCAATGTATTTTTGTTAGCCAATATTTTTCTTCAAAGTTGCATTGATAATATTCCATGCATACTATGTACTAATATCAACTCAGTTATAAGAAAAAAAACACTTGAGATTTGTTAGTACGTATATTTATTAACGATAAGACTAATAATGGAATAAAACCAGTTTTATAAAGATGTATGTGTCAGCAAAATCGTTTGAATGCGTAAATAACTTGGAAATATATACAATTTGAAAATATATGAATTACAAGTTTTTACTATAAGAAAACAATAAAAACTGCAATTTGAAAGAAGACCAGTTATACAAAAAAGTCGTAAAACAAAGATACAACATATTATTACATTTTCTGAGTTTTATTCATTTCATTTTGTTCTTTTTCCTAACTTTTTAGTGTCCAGTTTTTGTTATGTGATGGGTGAGGGTATTTCTGATAGTCAAGGAAAGCAGGACAACTGTGTGCACGTTCTTTATTGCATTGTATTAGACAAAACGATGACCGCAGCGGATTCTTTCAGCAGCAATAATAATATTTTATGTATCATAAATTGGAATATACAGCGAATACTTTCAATAATAATTTTCATATTCAACTCAATGTGTGGTTAGGCGAGTACGTAATTAAAACTAGAGGCGATCCCTCCGCCCGTCTAGGTGCTCTTCTGCACCTGTATGGGATTCTGCTTGAGGTGCAGGTAGATGGAGCGCATACGGGAGACATCCTTGCCCGCCTTGTTAACCTTGGGATTGAAGTCACAGAGCTTGGCTATGCGCTCCCATTCGGTGCCCGGTTCAATGCTGCCGTTCTCCAGCGTGGCTGCCTGCTTCTCGGCGTTGCGAGACGACAGCTTCGTCTTTGATATGGACTCGCCGATCTGGCGCAGCCAGTCGTCTAGCTCCTTTTTGGACTGCTGTCTGAGCTCCTCCTTTTTTCGCTCCTCCTCGAGATCCTTCTCCTCCAGTCGTTGTTTCTGCTCCTCGCGCCACTTGCGAATTTTCTCCGGCTCTTCCCGCGACGGAGGTGGTCCCGATATGCCCACTGGTTCATTGGACTCGCCGCCAATGACCTCGAAGCTGCCTGTGGATGATTCCAGGCCGGCGCCACCGGCGGACAATAGATCGTTTCCTAGCACATCGCCTGTGCTAGTGCTGCTAGCGCCACCACCCAGCAGCTCACCGAGGCCGCCATCCTCTGTGGTGACAGCTGCAGCGGATCCAGATGCGGATCCACCCGTTATCTCTGCCTCGAGATCACCGAGGGCGGACTGTTCGCGCGCCAGGAACTCTGCCGCGGGATCCACCTCCTCCTTGGCAGCGAAATCGTCTCCGAAGTCCATATCGATGTGCTCTGCAAAGTGTTGTGATAGCAATTTAGTGGGCGTCTCACTCCAATTTACACGTACGCAGGGCTGTGGGCAGCAGTTGCAAGCTGGTTGCTCTCCGTTGCAGGCTCCGTGCCAATACGCACCTCTCGTTTGATTTGGTTAGCTCTAAATGAAGATCAGTTTGGGCGGATGACTAACCGGAAACTTGGACTTGCTAAAATGTATTTTTTTCAGTTTTCTTTAGCAATGAATACGTAAAATGACTGTCATTAGTACGTGAACCAACAATAAAACAGCAGGTTATCGAACTGGATCCGGTTTTATAGTGTTGGATAACATGCCAAAACATCGTTTCACGCCGAGCGAATAGATTTGTATTGTTAAATAAATGTTATCTAAAAAATTTTAGTAAAACTTTTTAAAAATTATAACAATACAATAAGTATTTAAATAAAACAAAATTTGTTTAATAAATAACACTACCCATAAGTTGCACCGACTAACTGACTACAGCAAAAGATGGTATGTACTTAAAAATTGTTTATCTATAATTTATTTGACTTGTAAAAATAATAAAAACAGATTCTTTCTACTAGTTTTATGAATACAAATTTGAAACAACACAATTTCCTAGCATTTCAATTTTATAATTACTATTTTTTGTTTTTTGACAATGTATAATATAAGTATATTTATGTTATATCATTTTGTTCAAATTATTTACAGTAATAACAACGTTAAATTTTAATATATATGGATATATATCTTTATTTAAGTTTTTGATTTTAACAAAATAACAATCTTACATTTGGGCTAACATCGCTTAATATCGACACCAATGAAAACATAGGAAAACTCGCTAAGCAAAAAATATCGATGCTCAATACATCGATGTTTCTAGCATTTCTTCAAGTAATATCTATAATTACCATATTAGTAAACTCTTTTTATTAATCCATAAATTCTAATAAACAATTCATTATTACACATAATTGCACCAAATTGACCACTGGGGTGCTTAAAAAAACTAGTTCTACGGCCAGTGTTGGCTAATACGCGAGTGAAGTGGTTACAGCAGCGCGTTGATCAGAGCGAATAGTTTGTTTATTTAAAATAAAATGTGCCTTGAATAAACAAATCAAATTGTAATGATAAAATTTACAATTTATCGGGACTAAATGCCCAAATCGTCAGTCGCGATACAAACGGTATTGTGCAACACTTGCGAAAATGGCGCAGAACACGTGAAATGTGAATTTATTCACTTGTCAACCTCCGATTTATTCAGTAATTGTTTAAAAAACCCAGCTTTACTCACCTGGTTAGGGAGATACACGGGAACAACTATACTTTTTTAAACACCAACGGAGGGCAAATCACAAAGACGGCAATACAAACAATAAACACTCGCAGCGCGAACCAACGAACTAGTTCCCGTTGGCATTATTCACCTGAGCCAGTGGTTCATTTTTCACTGGCAGCAGAGCGGCCATTTTGGAGATTGTTTCATCCACAAAAAAGTTATGCACCGAAACTAAAAAAACGTTGCGCTCGAAATTAAACTTAAAATCCGCTAGTGCATTGGAGCGTGTGTGCAATCCGATGTGAAGAGAATGCTGGACCCAAGCAGCCCGACAGCAGTTCCGAATCTGTAACAACTAAAAGTTAGTGACTATCTTCCCAACACGCACGCATGTACACCCGTGTGTGCGCGCGAGTGTGTGCGTTTGTGTGTGTGTACGACAGTTTGTGTGTATGGATACATATGTATATGTACAGGCGGAAAATACGGAAAAAATGTCCCTAGCCAGAAAAACATTACGAAAACAGGCATAAATTGGTGCCAAAGTGCTTCCCCCGTAAAAATAAAGTCCTCGGTGCCGTATTGCAACAACGCAATTAACCCTCAGACGCAGGAGCTGGTTCAAGGCGGGTCGATTTCCAGCCGGAGCGCCAAGGCACAAAATACAGACGCCAAAAATTTCGAAGGGGGAACCAAGCGCATCGTGGCCAAAAGGGATACAAAAAAAAAGTAGGGGGAAACAATGAGTGCGAAAAAATGAAAGAAAGGGAAGAGAATTCCCTTCGAAATATGTCTAAAATAAATAAAATTCAGCCTAGCGAGGATTTTTATGATAATTATAAACTTTTGCTAGAAGAAAAACATTAACAATTATAATAATATAATAATTATATTATAATTTTATATTTTAAAAAATGTTACTTAAAAAGTTAAAAGCCGGAATTTTAATAGTACATTTTTACAAAAATTAAACATTAATTTAAATGTAGCACAGTTGATTAATCATGTAAAATACTTAATAACAATAAGAACAAATAATTATCCTTTAAATGAAATCGTTAGACTCTTCTTTAAGAACCTGAGTAAATAGAATAGAACAAATTATTCAAGAACCTAATTGTTTTCTAACCACTAATAATAACATATTTCCCTTTCAGTTAGCAGCCAGTGCAGCAGCAGTAGAAGCATCCAATATAAGCCATGGATCCCAACTCGAGCCCCTGGTCGTACGCCTACAACCGCATCGTGCCCGCCAGCGCTGGCAGCTCCGGCGGAGCAGCCGAGGACTTCCAGCATCCGCATTTGGCCACCATAACCGCCGCCAGCATCGCCAGCTTTAATGCGGCGGCTGCCAGTGGTGGTAGCTTTGTGCCTCCGTCGCCAATCGGCAGCTATAATCCAGTATTCCAGCAGATCTATCATCATGCAGCGGCGGCCAGCGTTCAGCCGAAGCCCGCCCATTACGCCTCATCCGCGGTCAGTACGCCGCACCGCCAGCTGCAGCTGCCCAGTTCACTGGACAAGCAACTCAGCTCGTTCCAGAATCAGGCGGCGGTATCGGCAGCCGCTGCTGCTGTGGTCAACAATGTGGCCTCTAATTATTATGGGGAGAACTCCTCCTCAAGCGGCGCATCGCCTTCGCCGACAACGGTGGCGCTAACGTCGACATCGCTCACCTGGAATACGCCGAACATGATATCGAACACTTTCCTGGCCATGCAGCAGCAGCAGGCACAGCAGCAACAACAGCAGGCGCAACAGCAGCAGCAGCAAGCGCAACAACAGCAGCAGCAAGCACAGCAGCAGCAGCTCAATCTAGTGGCCGACAAAGTGGTGAGTAGAACTTGTAGTAGCAGTAGCCTAGTCTTTCGTTCGACTCTTCCCTTCGATGAATCAGCAGCTTCTGGGGAAGCACCTACAACCATTAGTATCTATTGCATCTATCGCATACTAACATCTCCCCCAAAAATCAACCCAAATCAAACCATTTAAACTTAGGACTATGTCTTAGCCTCTCTCTTGTCGAACCAAACCCAAAACAAACACTTTCCGATTCCGATTCAATCCATGTATGGTGGCGCTGTGTAGCAGATTAAGCAGGAAAAGCAATTAAAAGCCTACAACGACTCGATTTACCTGATCCAATTGCAACAGCAGCAGCAGCAACAACATCAGCAGCTCCAGCAGCAGCAGCTGCAGCAGGAGATCGCTGAAACAGAGCCGGAGACGGACACATATTACACGATCGATGGCCGAAAGCTCAAGGTGACACGCAAGGATGGCCAGCCATTTCATGCGACAATTATCGAGCATCAGAGTGCCGGCGGTAGTCCAGTGCCATTGGCAGTGCCAGTTCCGGCCGGATCCTATCCAGCGCAGTATGCCAGTCCGGCATTGAGCTCCGCTGACGGATCGCCCATCACGAATTTACATGCCGTGGACGTGGTCAGTACACCGCAGGCTCAGGTGATTGTCTATAAGACGGCGTCCCCGGTGCAAAGGCGCTCAGAGGCAGGCGCTGGCTCGTCTGCCACTGCTGCTGCTGCCACGACGCCCACCACTGTGGCCTACTCATCTGTGATACAAAGCACCCTGCAACAACAACAGCAGCAGCAGAATATATGCTGGACAAAGCTAGAAGAGGGAGGAGGAGGAGCGGGGCAAGAAGACATCAAGAACGTGCTGCAGTTGCAGGTGGTGAAGCAGGAGCAACGCCATCTCGACTACGCCAGCGAGGCGGCATCCACAGTTGACACCGGAGGCGAGAATCTGGTGTTCAACCTGCCGCCCGGTTTGGAGATCAAGCAGACGTTCTATCCCGCGGGACTGCAGGTCGATGCAGGGGAGCATCTGCAGCAACAACTGCAGGACCAGAGCCAATCCCAGGCAGCCGGGGGGCGGCGTCAGCACGTGGTGGCCAACATGATCATGTCGCCGGCGGCGTCGGGCAACTTAGCGTCACAGATTCAAGTAGTGCCAAAGGTTTGTATATCTCATTTTGTTTTATTTCCGTTCCTATTTATTTAATTTTATGTTTTTTATTTTCTTATTTGCGTTGGTTTATTTATTGTTCTATATTTCCTAACAAGCTAATCCTCTGCCAAGCTTCAGAAACTTATATTACTTGAACCAAATCTATGTAGAGCCTTTTACAGCTTCATGTAAAGTCCTTTAACAAATTAGATTTAGGACCAGGTAGAAGGTATTTGATGTTAAATATTTAAACCCATTAAGAACAAGAAAGAACATTTTTTAGGTATTGAGAAATAAATAAATATTAATCTAAATTGATTTGTCTCTTCCGATTCTATATATATATATATAAAGAAGAATATATTATTGGTTTATTGCTACGTTCAAATATCGTTCTAAATGTACATTAAATATCGTGTTCGTTATCGATACAGTAGAAATATTAGACTGATTTTAAATTTGAAAATTTGGTTCTGGTGCAGGTCCTCTGAGCTATGTAGTTTATGTTATCCGTTATGTTAATATATTTATGCATGCATATGCATGACTTTTTTTTTGTATTTTTGGTGGAAGCTTTTCCTTTTTGGCCATTTGTTGCGTTGTATGCTTTACTGGAATTATTCTATGTTTAATCTAACAAACAACAACTTCTTACTGCTTCAAATACTGCTAATTAACTCTCTAATTAAAGTCCTGTTGGCAACACTTTGAAACTGTGACGTTATGTTGTAATAATGGTATGATTCCCATGTTCAGTGAGAGGGTAAACACACAAGCACCGAATCGGTCACAGAAAAATGCTCCGGGAGCAGCAGCAGCCAGTGTGTATATGTCTTCCAAAACCGTTCCTAATGTCCCTATGTCACAATGTCCCAGCTATAATGTGCTATATTCCGAGGATGATCCTCCGAGATGGTGCCGAGTATTCTAATCGCCATTTTCTTTCGCTACTTGCCTTGCAGGAGGAGGTGAAGCCGCCGCCAAAGCCAGCGAAGACGCCGCGCAAGCGCCAGCCGAAGAAAACGCTTATACCCAGCAGCAGTGACTATGGCAGCGTTCGCAGTCCACAGGAGCCGCAGCACCATCAACTGCAGCAGCAGCAGCAGCAACAACAACAGCAGCAGCAACAGCATAACCAGCAGCAGCAGCAGCAGAACACGTACTACGACTTCAACAGCAAATGGAATACTCCCCTCAAGACGGAGAATAATGCTGCGTCCGTATCGCCGGCGGCCACCATAAATATACCCACATATCCGCAACAGAGCCAGCAGCAGCAACAACATCAGCAGCAGCAACAGCAGGCGGCGGCAGCAGCGGCGGCGGCGCAGCAGCAACAGCAGCAGCAGCAGCATCTACCGCAGCCGGCACACCTGCAATCGTCGCAGGCCCAGTCTCACTTGACCCAGTTGGCGCAATATTACCCAGCCTTTCCCCAGCCCATTGCCTCCCAGTACACGGCCTGCATGCAACAGCAGCAGCAACAACAGCAGCAGACGCTGCAGCAGCAACAACAACAGCAGCAGCAACAGCAGGCAGCTTACACGCAGCAGCAACAACACCAGCAGGCCTATACGCAGCAGCAACAGCAACAGGCTCAACAGCAGCGGCAGGAGAAGACCGAGGCTGCGCAGCTCCAGGAGGAGGAGGCGACGGCAGCTGCAGCGGCAGCGGCAGCAGCGGCGGCAAGTAACAAAGTCATCGTGCCGAACATTGAGGAGGAGCTGGACTTTTTGGCCGATACCACAGCGGCACCCAAGCAGGGCTACGCCAACTCTGTGTCCAGCAACGGTCGTGGCACAAACTCTTCCACCAACAACACTAATTTCGGCATACGCAATCCGAACAAGACACCGTCGCCGGAGCCGCCGAGCTGTCCAACTAATTCGCATGCCGCCAACAATGGACACGCTTCAGCCGCTCCAGCTGGAGCCAGTGCCTCCGTCGCCTCAGCGTCCTCAGCGTACAGTCCTGCTGCGCCCAAGCCGGTTAGCGTGGGAACGCAAATTGGTGAGAAGAAGACCCAGTTTATGGACAGCTATCTCAAGTTTCTGCAGGGTGAACGGGACGACGACCCGCCTCCCGTGGTGAAGCCTTCCCGAAAGTTAAATTACCCGAGAGCGCCATACAAACGGAAAGGCAAAGGATCCGGTAGTGGGAACGATGAGCCCACCACGTCGCAGGTGAACAATCAGGCAACAGTGGAAGCTGGCCAGGCTGCGGTCGATGGACTGACTGGGCTCGTGGGCGACCACGACGGACATCGCATCAAAATACTCTCGCAAACGCAGATACTTCCCAAGAAGCGACCGCATGCCCAAATGGTGGCTGCTGCCGCTGCAGCGGAGTCGTCACCCTCATCATCGTCGTCGTCGGTGATCCAACAGCCCGGGGATCCCACCTCCTTCCGGCCATATGCTCAGCAGCAGCAGACGCAGCAGCAGCAATCGATGAGCGGACAGCATTTTGTGCAACAGCATTGCGCTCAACTGGCAGCTGGCGGAGGAGCGGGTCAAGGTATGTTACTTGACCAACAACAGCATAGTTCCAATAAGCACTCCACTACTATCGCTACTACTTCCACGCCATGCAACAACTACAACAACAACAACAACCACCATCACAACACGTCAGCCAGCGCGAATGCGAATACGAATTCCAATGCGACAACGCCGACGCCAGCACCAGCGCCGAATCCTCATCACTTTATAAACCTGCTGTGGCCGTGGCAGCACTAGCAGCAGCCGGCACCACCAGCCACCCACCACCCACGCAGCACCACCACCCACACCACACGGACAGACAGCAGACAGACACTAGTGACCGAGACATTATAGCGACTCCGACGACCCTTGGACGGTGTGTATATGTAAAAAAGAAATCAACCATAATGACAACAAGAAACAAAAAGGAAAAAAAGCAAACTTTTAAATTGTTAAAAGAGCAAACAAAAACAAAAAGTAATAATAATAACAAACTAAAAACATAAAGGAGAATCCCATGAACAAAAGTATAAAAGTATTTTTGAGAAGATGAAGAATCAAGAAAGAGAAGAGAGAGAACAAATATTATTAATTTTCAAAAACCCAAAATAAACCGTGTATTTTTATTATTTGTACTTGAGTAAGACGGAAACCCATTCCGATCCGAGGTGCTGGTGGTGCTGGTTGGTGCTCGTGGGATTACATGGTGTTGCAGGTTGTCGTCGTTGTCGTTGTTGTTGTGGCTGGTCCCTCCCCCCGTTCCGACTACCCATGCCTGTCTGTGTCAGTGTCCTCCTGTTCAATGTTGTTGCTAACCACACTTTTGTGCTCCTCCACAGACCCTTTGAGTGTGCCGCCGCGACGCGAGCAGTGCTCGCGGAAGGCCAAGAGCCAGAGCAGCATGCACGCGGCCATGCTGTTGAATTCCACTTCTGTCACCGGTGAAACTGGCATCGTTGGCGAGCCCGATGAGTTCACCGACTCGGACACGGATCCTGTGTGGACTCCGCAGGAGGAAGACGTAAGTGTTGAGCCTCACCTTCGCTTCCATCCCTCCTTTCCTTACCTCTTCCCAACCTCTTACGCAGAGCGATGATGCCGGCAAGGGCTATGGGAAGAGAAAGTTGGCTGCTCGCCGCTTAAAGGGTACGCCGCGCAAGAATACGTACGAGCAGCTACAGCATCAGCAACAACAGCAACCACAACAACAACAGCAGCAGCAGCAACACCATCAGCAACAGCAACAATTGCAGCAAATGCAGGTGAACCAGCAACAGCAACACCAGCAGCACCAGGTGCAGCAATTGGCCGGTGGCAGCAACGACTCCGGCTACAATCCCCAGCAGAATCTCTCAGGAGTGACGGATGTGGGCTATGCCAGTGCATCCTCGGGCACAGCTGCCACCACGGAGAATTTTAAAGTAAGTTTTAAATTAGGTTTGATTCAATACCTATCTCTTTTTTTAAAAAGAATAGTTTTTGAAGCGATTATTTATACAATCATTCGAGCTTAAAATACATACATCTTTATATAGACGGGCGACTTTATAGTCTTGCGATCGGACTTGGTGAACGACTGGCCCACCATTTGGCAGGTGGACTCCAAGTGCATTTTGCAGAAGTACGAGCCCTTCCGCCAAAATGGAAAGACCTTTTATCGCAACATGTCCAAGGTTTGTTCAATTCAACCAATAAACATTAATATATTCGTTAATCAAAAATCAAAACAATTCCCATCCAGTACGCCTCGTGGAACCTCGAAACGAAGAAACTCTACCTCAAGGCACCGGTGCGCATGCAGCTGCATTCCCACACCGAAACCATTGTGGAGTTTATGCGATCCGAGTTGCTTGCCGATGATACCGAGCAGTTTATAGAGAAGATTATGGAGGACTATCTCTCCTATCGGGACAACTTTGAGATCTATATTCAAACCATGATCTCTCAGGCGCTCGATCCGAGCTTCTTTTCGGAAATAACGCGGGAAAAAGGTAAGACAGTAAATATAATTATTTAATAATTTAAATAATATAATATTCGCTTCTTTTAGACGACTACTTTTTGGGAAGCGTGCGCGTGGTTGACACTATAATGGAGAATTGTAAGCGCAAGCTTTTGGCCATAACTCCATGGACAAGGAGCACCATCTCCTCCATCGAGACCTGGCCCAAGTGCCATGTGTTCTCCGAGTGGGAGCAAAACAATCTGACGCAGAAGAACTGTGCTGGCTGTCACCAGCCTGGAATAGCAGTGCGTTTTCTGCTTTTCGGAGAGCCATATAATCCAAATACCATGCAGACAATACCCGTCGATCCACGCATAGTCTACGAAAAGGTATAGTTATTAAACAAATTATATATTAACTATCATTTAGATCGAATATATATTATTATTCAAAACATATATAATATATGAAAAATGTACTTAATTTCATTTTTGCAGGACATTGTCTTGTGCCGGATTTGTGCCGCACGTGCCGATCTCTTCCACAAGATTGCGCACGAGAAGTTCAACTTGTTTATCAACTGCTCCCAAAGGGTCACCGAGCAGCAGCAACAGTTTCCGGGCAAGACATCAACGGAAATACTAAACGATCTGCTGGCTGAGCACAACTGGATAGATGAGGTGAGATTGAACTATTTTTCATTTAAATTAAAAATGAATTCAAACAAATCGAATTGCAATATCCAGCTATTCCGGAACATGCGCAACTGTTGGGCCGAGGTGGAAAGTCTGGAACGGCAGAAGCGTTTCCGTGAGGTCATGCAATAGATGCCATTATATCACATCAGAGCAGATTCCTCTCGAATGAATGTGTATCCAAGTGCTGGACATTAGGACAAGCCCCACGTATCGCTGCAATAAACTCAATGAGTTGTTATTTTTATTACTATATATGAAAACAGATGACAGACACGCGAAAGCTTAGTTTTTAGTGCAAAGACACATATTATTGAACTATGGTAGGCCTTAAAAGTAAGATATACGGTCTATTTGCGGACTCTGCATAATGCAATGCCATGTAAATAGCTATATACAAATATCTAGCTATAGCCGCGCATCAAATATCATATTTGGAATCTAGAATGGTACTACATAATATACCATTAGTACTAACAACACTCATTAATTTTGAAGAAATCATATTTCTGCTTGAATCATTCTTTTAGTAAAAGTTCAAATTTCACAATTATTTTATAGGTTTTATAAGTTAAGATCATATATCCAACCCCATGCAAACAATCAAATTGTGTTTCACTTTTGGAACAGTAATCATCTAATAACACTTAAGGCACTGTATATATTATTAGTTTACTTTAGTTACGCAAAAATCCAAGTGCAGAGTTTTAAGTTGGCATTCTTTTTGTTATGCAGATTTTTAAATTTAAGTTGTGATTTTCTCAGAATCTTAGAGTTTCCTGAATAAATATAAAACAACATGAACTAACTATTGCCTGACCTCAAATGTCAAGACCTAAAATCCTCACCGATTTCTGTCGCATCCCTGATGTCCACTTATCTTTATAGGAAATGTTTTTATTTTTGGATTGCATAATACTGTAGCTCTAGGGCCTAGGAATCCATTTCAAAAAGCGGCTCTGTCATCTTATATTTGATTAAATCCTTGACTATCCCGAGTATACGGCGCCTAAAAATGGGCAATGTACGCTCATTAAGCATATCATATTCCTCAATTAGATCCTTGTACTTGGATTCGTCCGAAGAGTCCGAGAGATCCTGGATTGCTTCAGAAACTGTATCGATATCAAGGACCTCGTTCGCATTGGAAATGAAGAAAGGAAGTGAAAAGGCACCCATTATTAAGCCGTAAACTCCAAAGAGTTGCAATTGTCGGTTGAAGACGCTGCGTGGATATATCTCCTCCAGACGAAGATCACGAGAGGCTAATCTTTGGTCCAAGGTGTCGTAGTACGCATTCATAAAAGCAGGAAAGTGTTCATCGCGCAATTGTTTCTCCGTACAGGCAAAAAGGTAATGGACTATATCAAGAACTGGAGGTGCATATCGGGACATCTGAAAGTCAATGAGCTTGGCTTCTACAGGTCGACCAAGGGGCTGTGGATGAGAAAATAAGTTGGATAAGATATGAGAGCAGTAAGAATCTCAAAGGACTCCTTACCTCATGTCTGTATAGGATATTATTATTCCAGAAATCGCCGTGGCAGATGACTGCATGTGGTGCCTGTGATTTCCCATCTACGCAGTAGAGCGCCAAGGACTTTAAATACTTTTCACATCGCTCCAGGACCTCTCGCATAGCACCAACTTCGGCATGGTCTCCATCCGTGTCATCTAAAATATTTCGTGCCCTTCTTAGCTGTGCTTTTCCAAATTCAATTGTAACCTCCTCGATATTGGGTGTAAAGAGGTTATCCTTTTTCACGGATGCTACCAGTTCTCTGAACTTTTCTGGATCCCTTTTCTGTAGGATGAAGGAGCAGGCGTGGAGCTCCGCTAGAGCCGTCAGAGAGCAAATCACAATATCATAGGTGGGCATCAAGCTGCGCGAGTTGGGCCGGAAGCCACTCTCAGATAGATCCTCAAAGATGAGGAACTCATCGGGAGCCTTCATGCCATTGGCCTTGAGTGCGGGCGTCACAGTGAATGCTGATAGGTTCCTGAAGATGGGAAATACCTCCTGGTACATGAAGACCTCACGGGCATAGTAGTCCACCACGTGCATGTGGGACCTCCTTGCTTCGTTCTTGGGTGCCATCTTAACCACTAGACTGGCCGCTTTAGAAACAGTGGGCCAACTGACGCGAAGGACCTGTCCGTAGGCATTCTCACCCACTCCCGCCATCGGCTGCGAGTCTATGGGCTCATGGTGGCGCTGGTAGAGCTCCAATAGAGCGCTCGTCACGGCACTCGAAAGCTCGCTCTCTTTACTCATTGCTCGAACTGGTTGTGATGTATTGTATCGCCGATGAATCTATCTTTCCGACTGAAGCGCAACAGCTAATGTTCCCCGCTTTTATAGTTTGTAGATGGAAAAGCTTGCGGATAGTTCCGCTGCATCGTTGTGGGTGGCGATAAAACCCCGGAGACCACGTGGCCAGGTGAAAGAAAGGGTTATCCTGCAAGCTCAGGAAGAACTGATCTACAATTGAACGTAATATATTTATGCAAATATTTATTTTTATACCCTTGCAGGGTATTCAGAAGCTTATAATTTTGTGAAGGAGTCATTTCCGACCACCTAAATCATATATATTCTTGATCAGCATCAACAGCCGAGTCGATCTAGCCATCTTAGAAAGCATAAAAAAGGCAGTTTTTTTTAATTTTTATACCAATGTATAGATGTAGCTGGAAACAAAATTTCTCGTTATTAAAAGTTTTTATGGCGCATTTTTTAAAGGGTTGTCGTTAGGATCGCTGATAAATTATGTGTCTCTTATATTTTATGATATACAACAGATTTGCAATAAAAGCTAAAAAAAATTTGAACATCTATTTATATTTTATCAAAATATTAATAAATGGAACTTTATCAGAAGGACCCATTAAATTAACAAACATGTACCATATAACATAATTAATTTCAAGAATATCTTAAAGAAAAAAGGATAATTAACCATTATGTAAGTTCAAATAGAAATCTATCTGATTTATTTTAAGAGAAATGACAGCATACATCATTTAGGGGAAGAACAATTTTAGTCCGGGATTTCCCCAAAGGTTTCGTTTGAGTTCATATCATTCACATATCATTGAACTAATAATAATAATTTCCAAAATAGAACATTTTAAAATTAAATAAAAGACAACCTAAATACAATTATTTACAATTATTACAAATAGACATAGAAATAAGAACAACTATCAGTTGCGCAGTTTGAATATGCCAATATTTACAATAAGTTAATTTGATAAGTTGAAAGTTTGTGAAAAACCAGTTAATAAGCCCTCAATCCAGAGTATTTGGACAAAAATGATAGTGCACTTCTTCATCCATTGTGTATTGTGTTCTATTTTCAAATCCAACGTCAGTTGCCGTGTTGCGAGTAGTTTCGGTCGTTGACCCACTCAAGGCCACTGCGAATAGACCTTCCGTATGTGCATGCCATACATACCTACGCAGGTAGTTAGAAAAGCATGCGATTGGGGGAGGGGGAGAAAAATAAAAAAACAACTTTAACTTTTGCTTTACCAATTTCTGAAGCTTTCTAACATATCGGCCATTGAACTTGACCAGCGTTGTGCATGCACGGCAAATAAAAGCTCGCCAACCCCAACCCCGATCTAACCCGTTCTAATGATGAGAACCGATCGACTCAGTCGAGTGCAATTCCCTCCTAGACGCGAGCTTTTCTCCCAAGGCCATTGAGTGGAGGTGCTACAAGCTTTCGTCGGTTAAGGTTTAGCTTTCATTGCCATTGAGAGCGACTCAGTGATGTCAGAAATTTTGGCTAGGTTTAAAAAAAAATATATATAAATATGTTGAAGGAAATAAATTTAAAAATCTAAATAAATAATTTGTTTTTGTAATCCATAGTGCCAAAGCACAGATATTAACGAAGCTCAAGATCACGAAATTCGGGCTCTGATAGATTTTTTATTTATAGTAAACAATTATTTTAGAAATACTTTTAAAATTGCCTAAATGTAGCTGAACCAAAAATGTCTAAAGTGACAGCATTGAATGTGAGCGTTTGGAGGTCGTTGAACCGACACCATTTCGAAAGAAGTGGCGCTCCACGATTGCCCAACTGCCCGACAGACCCAAAACAAAATATAGTTTCGCTTTTCGATACCACCTGGTCGAGGGGTATGATGATTTTTCACTCAGGCAGAGAAATTCGAGATAATTCATTCAAATTCAATTAGGTTTTCTAAACTTGTTTTTTAAAAATGTCCTTAATATACACTTGTATGATGATAACTATTTTTAAAAATAATTAAGAGTTTTAAAGAGCGTAAATGGTTTTCAATAAAACGGAAACTAACTTTAGAAGTCGGAGTTGCATTTCCTTGCAGAGAATAATTTAATGCTGATCAAGAATATATGTATGTATGTAAAAAATAGCTCCTTCATTGCATCTCGTCAAAGTATAATACCCTCATGGGTATACAAAAATAACTTAAAAAAACATACATATTTTCTACTTATACATTTTATTTAATAACAATAAAATAGTTAGATTTCATTTGTTGTTCCCACAAAAGCGTTGAAAAATGCTCTGTCTCTTATGATCCTCTAGGGAGTTTGTTTCCTGAAAAAAAGAACTTACATTTAAGTTTAGGTAAATTAACTTTAAATGCTCGTTTTAAACAGTTGCAAATTAATATATTATCTACAAAACATTTTTAATATTTAAATATATTAGTACAAGCAAGGACAATTACATAATGCATTTATTTATCTTGTACAGATAATTACAATTAAATAGCATTGATTTTCCAACTATTGACAAACACATAAGACGAGAGACAAGGGACATAATATTAGGTAAACCTTCACAAATTTAAAATCAACAAGAAAGGAAGCCAACTTCGGTAAACCGAAATTTCTATACCCTTGCAGAGAAAAGCCATCATATATATATATGTTATATATATATATATATGTTATGTTATCATATATATATATGTTACGTTATCATATATATATATATATTATATATATATGATAGTCAAAAATGCATTAATTTATAATATAATCTAATCATTTCTGTGATTTTTATAAAGGTAATAAATCTACTTACTCAATTTAAAATTTTAAAATATTAAAAATGTTGCCAATTTTTGACAATTTTAACAAACCTCCTTATAAAACGTTGAAAAATTTGATAAAATCTGCTTATTCTATTTAAAATTTTAAAATATTAAAAATGTAAATTTTTTACTATTTTAACAATGTAACCCCCCTTATAAAATGTTGAAAAATTTGGTAAAATTCGCTTATTCTATTTAAAATTTTAAAATATTAAAAATGTTGTCAATTTTAACAATGTAACCCCGTATAAAATTTGGTAAAATCTGCTTAATCAAAATAAAATATTAAAAATGGTGACAATTTTAAAAATGTAACCCCTTACAAAATTTTGAAAAATTTGGTAAAATTTTTTTTCTGTCGGACATGTTTAGATACAATCGGCTGTTGATGCTGATCAAGCATGGTTTTGACTAATATTATAATACAATGCAAGGGTATAGATTTAAAGAAACCATTATTTTCGCCAATAGAGGAAATTGAGTTACATAAATTAAGGGATCTAGAAACCAATAAGGCTTTTAAAAAACATTGGAAAACTTCCTTCATGCTATGTTCGATGTTATTGCTTATATCGTCTCTCTCAATTTGTACAATTTGTAATTTAAAGGTAATAAAACGTTTGAATTGTAGCTTAAAATACGGTGGAATAGTCTTAGATATATACAATCGACAAGGCCCAGTCAAAGGACCGAAACATAATTAACTAAATACATGATTTACTGTAGCTCCGAGGAGTCGGCAGTGTTTGAGTTTGAGTTCTCTTCCGACTTCTTCGATGACGGCGAGTCAGAGAGATTCGGCGAGAGGTCGCGTAGCTTAACAACGTTACCGACGTTCACCAGGTTGGCCGCCTCGGCCACCGAATAGCCAATATCCGGCGGTGTGCCTTCTGGATAGCCCAAATAATAGTCTGCAATGCGTCCAGCTTCACGTAGCCCGCTCAAGTAGGCTCCGTGCACGGTGGCCGGGTAATTCCGTATTGTATGCTCTCCAGCGAAAAAGAGGCGGGGAAGACCCTCCGCTTCCTTACTGGATGGCGGAATAACTGGTGCCGCCAGTAGGTCATAATCGCTGCCGGAGGATCCAACAGAGACATAGCTATAGGAACCACGAGCCCAGGGATCGCTGCGCCAGCGTGTAACCACAGTTTCCTTCGGCTGTGGGACTGAGGTATTTCCGAAGATATTCTTCAGCACCGACATGCATCGACCAATGATTATGTCGTCCGTCACGCTTTCCACAAGGTTAGCGGCCATGCCAGCGACCAAAGCTAACAGAACTGGCGATGAGCTAATGCTCCAGAAAAGGAACATTTCTCCTAAGAAAGTAATAGATTATTATACAGAACTAACTAAAGGTTCAACGTAGATATAAGTATCATATATGACTTTCTTTATAAATTCTTTGAAATGCCTTATTAATTGCAATTCTATCCGTGCACTTACCCCGACTGGAGGTGGTACTGCCCACATGGCCAAAGAGATTCGCATTGGGATCCCAGAAGATGCGATCAAAGCAGAGTACCACCTTATTAAGGTTCCCGAATCCAAGCCTACGTATGGCCTGCTGCTTCCAGTCAGGCAACGGAGGATCAAACTTGACCGTATTACTCTGCTGCGACTCCTCATGGGCTACGGCCACTTTCAGAACTCCCAGCGTGAGGGTACACACCGCCAGATCGGCTTTGTATGTCATCAATGAGTTGGAGGTCTTCAGGTTCTCGGCCACCACTTCCACGCCATGGGTACCGTATTTGATCTCCTTGACCGCGCTATTGACGCGAATATCGAGGTTCTCGGTGAGAGCCACTGGCACACAAGAATACCCATTCCGAACGGTGGTGTGATGACCGATGAACTCGAAGTCGTCGTCCTGGTCCCAGTGCTTCAGCGACAAGTTGTTCAGTCTTGTGGCATTGGCAAACTCTAGGTTGGCAAAGTGCCAATCCAAGATGAGTCGGTCACGAGAGGAGAGGTACACATCGCTAAAAATACGTTTCATATTAAATGGTCGTATCAAATCTTATAGCTAATGATTTCATTTCAAAAATGAAGGCTTATGAAAAAAATTCTTAATTAAAATGGAAAAGAAGCCTTGAAGAAATAAACCTTACCTGGGTCTGTTCTGCTCCATCTCGTGGAGCTTTGTCTCCAACTGCTTGTCCTCGTCGCGAAGCTGGCAAAACAGTTTGACGGCTTCATCCAGTTTGTATTGGGTGTTGCGTATGCTGAACTCCTGGCGCGCGTAGCTTAGATCACTCTCCACACCTTTGGGCGTTCGCTGCTTCACTAGCGCCGCATGCTCACTTCGAAGTGTGTCTATGGTTTGCTTAACGGTTTTGATGCGCTGCCGGTGCTCAATGATCTTCGTTTGCGCGGCTATAATCTCCTGCATGTGCAGCGCCCGCTTGTGCATTACCTGCATCTCCTGCATGCTGATAATCCATTCGAGAGCGTCACCCAACGACACCGGACAGTTTCCGGCATAGTTAAAGTCCAGACGGTGTGAGAGGTAGCTGGCCGATTCCAGGAGTCGGTTGAATTCCAGCTCGATGACATCGTCCTTCTCCTTGGGCACCGGCTTGCCATCAGGCCCATAAAGCGGGCACGTCTGCTGTATGGGCACCAAGTCCATGCCGATCTGCTTGCTCAGAATGGTCATAGGGTTTCCATAGACGCCGGTCACCACCATGGCCCCCAGATCGGCGATGTAGCTGTTCTTGCGGAAGGTGGCAATGCGTCCGCCGACTCGATCTCGCGCCTCCAAAACGATCACATCCATGCCGAACTGCTGCAGTTGCTGGGCCACGGCCAAACCGGAGATCCCCGCACCAATTACGATCACTTTTCCCAGTTTTTTTGTGGGAATCGGACGATGTCGTTTGAAGATTCCAAAGTTTATGAATCCGTGACGCTCCAGAAACGAGTGAACACGCCTGACCAGACCGGGTTCGCTGTCAAAGGGAGGCGGAAGCGATTTCAGTGCATTATCGAAGCTCAGCTGCACCTTGGGATTATCCACCCACATGTGAAGCAGACTGTTGCGTATGTTAAGGAACACTCGGTGGCCCAAAATTCCCGAACGACTGATGTCCGGGAAGCAGGCCTCCTCGTTGGGTGTCATCTTGCTGAACGGCAGACGGGACTGAAAGACGGCGCCCTCCTGGCCGGAAAGAACGGTGGGTGTGCCCACGTCTCGTTCCCGAGCATCTCCATTCTGTGTCGGTCGTGGGTTTCCTGTGGCTTGTCCCGAAACAGATGTTGCGTTTGCCTCCGATCTCCGACCTTGCGCTTGGTTTTGACTTCGGCTCCGGTCTCCCTGCTGGGTGTTGTTAGACGATGAAGAAGATCCCGAGGTGGACTTCTCTCCGACGGATGCGGCTTCTCCACTGCCACTGGGCCTGTTGCTGTAATCTACCTTGGGCCTGTTCCGTCTGCTGGTGCGCCGCTCGTCCGCAGCGGAACTGGTGGCAGGTGCGTCGTTGGAGTCATCATCCGGCAGCTTCTGTTTCTGGGATGGGGCCGAGGGAACAGTAGAAGCAGCAGGAGCAGTTGCGTTCCGCTTGGGCGAGGGTTCGCCATCGGAATCGTCGCTAATCAGCGTAACGTACTCAATGGGCTCGGACATTTTGGAGCCAGCACTACCTCCGCCTTGGGTGGGCTTCATCGCCGGCAAATGACAACTGCCGCCGGGAAACCAAAATGTATGAGCGCTCTAAAAAATCATAACCGGAAACGTAGGCAGACTCGGCAAATTTAAAATCTCAACTCAAACATACGGCTGAAAGTCAAGGATCCTCAGCACACGCACTAAATTGGTTTATATTTAAACTCATTGCATTTTTTTTTTCCTCTAATCTGGGCGGTTTTTATTTCGCACGTTGGAGCCGAACAACCGCTTCCGATCAGGACTATGCCTATTTTAAAAAGAACAATTATCTGGGTTTGGTTGCCACATAGGCTGTTTCCACTAGTTGTGGTTTTAATTTAATATGTTGACACTAACATTAGTATTTTCGAATTTTCGGATTGCAAAATTGTAAAATTGTTTATATGGTTTGGCCGATGTGGCCGCCGCTTACTAGTACCGGTACGGCAGGAGGCGTCTTATTCAAGCGGCCACATCTGGTCACACTGCATCAGTGCAGGGTGGCTATTTTAATTCGTACTTTTCAGGGTAAAATTTTAAACTTTTGTTGGCAAAAATGTATGTTTATTTCTCCTATAAAAATAAAACTAATAATGCATGTTTTAATATATAATATTTTCCCGCTAGAAGGATACGTTAAATGATTAATTTTTTCGAAAATTCATCAATAAGTCTTGATTATCGTTTAAAGAATTGTATGCGGCCCAACTAAATAAAATATTTTAGGCTCATTTTTTAATCATATATTTATTGTTGGGCCCGGTCAATATTTAAAAAGACCCTTTTTACTTTAAAATAATGTTTTCGAGTACAATTAATCATTTGCTATAAAATATATGTATGTATATAAATTTGTATTATCAACTGTTACAATCTTATTAAATAAAGTGGTATGTAAATATACGAAACATGAACGATGATGATGACTATATATAACAAATAAGTGTAAAAATGCTTCAAGATCACTCCAAGATAGTAAGCAGTACGTCATTAACGGCAATTCATTTTACACTTTTACTCATTTCCAGCTATCTCATTTTTTTGGTAACGCTTCAATAATTAATTTGTAATTCGGTTACCATTATATTCGATCGTTAACAGAAAAATCAAATGCCTAGAAACCAGTTAAGAATTTAAAAGAATTTTCGCTTGGGTGTGGCGAAGGACAGTTCCGACATTCTGAAAAATAAAAGCGATACTTTAAATAATGGAAAAGGAAGATCAGCAATTTAGATTTGAGCCTACCTGACAAGCTTTGGGCCGCTAAGGCCATCTGGCTCTGCATTGTTCACATCGCTCAACGGTGTGCTGGATTCGTGGTCGTGAGATCGCTTTGGCGAGGCCACTACATTGGCCAACTGCTGCTCTGCCGAGATGAATGCGTCGGAATTCTCCTTTTGGGGCTGCTCTCCGTCCGTGTCACCGCGCTTCTCAGGCGGCTCTTGGTTCAAATTGAAGGGATTCATGCAATGACCCTTACAAAAACAGTTCTCGGAGCACACCTTGCTGCCCAGAAAGCAGCCGCAGCGCTTGCCGTTGCACTTGGTGCGGCATTTACACCTGGTAACCTTTCCATCCTCGTGGGCCGCCGTAAAGTTGAGGGAAGAGATAGATCCGTTGCTTACTTCAGTGCCATTGAGCTGTGGCGCACCCTGCCCCACTCCTCCCCCCGGTTCTGTGATTGAGGTCGATGTATGGCTGTTTTGGGATCGCAGCTGTATGATAAAAAATGATCATTAATGATTCTTTAACTTTAAAAGCTAAAACTGAATCAACACTCACCGACTTGTTTTTCGTTTTTTTCTCTGGCAGCCAGTCCGGATCGTCGCTGTCGACCATTTCTTGACTGTCGTTCATATCGCTCATATAGACGGTGGCATCGAGATCTGCGACGGGGACCTTTGGGGCCGCCTTTGACTTGGACGTGTTTCCCGGCAGATTTTCCAGCTGAGGCGCTTTCAGGAGAACTGCCACCTTCTCCTCGTAAGAACGCTGCTGGCTGAGCATCTGTTCCTCGTGTTGCGCTTCGGCCAGCTTAAGGCGGTTGCTCACTGCCTCGTGCAGCTGCTGGGCCTCCAGGAGTTGGGCCCGAACGTCGTCCAGTGCCGTACGTTGCTCGTTCGAGCTGAGCGCCTGGTGCCTGCGCTGCTGCACCAGGGTCTTGAGCAGTTGTTTGCTCACCGATCGCGACTCGGCTATGCTGTGGACACCCTCCGACAAGGCTCGAATTCGACTGTCCAGGTCGCTTTGGCACACCTTCTGCTGCAGGTCTGAGATCTGTGCATTACGCATCTCGAGCTCCTCTTCCAGGCTGGCCAGCAGCTTGGCCTGCACTTGGGCGTCCGCGGGATTCGTGCTCGTCTGCTTCTCCATCAGATGATAGTGCTTGTTAACTTCGGCCCGGTCTTCCATCAGCTGCTCCAAACTGTGCTCAGCATCCACTAGGGAAAGTATGATCTCTAGCTCGCGATCCACCCAGGAATCAGGCTTTGCGCTGGCACCGCCGGCTGCTCCGTGCTCCTTGGCTGACTTCTGGCGCTGCGCCTGAGCTGAGGCCTGGCGGTCCAAGGCGTCCTTCAGGCGCTTGTTGGCAGCCATCGCCTCCTCGCACTTGCGTTTGAGCACCTGCCGCTGCTTGGCATGTAGCGTCTGTTGGCGCACCATTTCCGACTGCATCTTACGATCCTTGCTCTTCAGCTGTGTCACCTCCTTCTGGTGCACCATCCTCAGCTGGCGGAACTTCTCCGACTCACCGCGCATGGTCCGGATCAGCTTGACTTTTGACTCTTTCATTATCTTGATTTCGTCGCTTAGATTCTTGATTTTCTCGCGCTCCTTTTCGCGCATCTTTAGCATATTAGCCTGAGTGACGACTTTGCGGCGCAGATCGGAAATCTCCTGCTCGAGGGTCTGCAGCCGCTTTCGCCGCTCCTCGGCAATTTTAGCGGAAGAATCCTTGCTCTTAATATTACGAAGCTGGTCCAAGAGGCTGCGACGCTCCTCCTCTAGGTCTTCGATCTTCTGGTTGCACTGACGCAGCTTTAAATCCTCATCCGTTGCCTCCAACTTGTTGAAGTTGCGCATGATGCGCACGTGCAGCTCCTGCTTGAGATCCAGCTGACGGTTGATGTTCCTCAGCTCGCTGGCGAAGTTCAACTGCTTGTCGGTGTACTCTTCGGACTGCAATTGCAACATCTCGTGTGCCTCATCGCCGCCGTTGCCACTCGAGCTGTGGTCGTGCCCATTGCTGCTGAGTTGGTGCCGAGTCTCCTGGCCATGCGAGTCCAGCTCGTCTTGCGTGCGCTGCAGCTGATCCTCCACCATATCCACCAGCTGACTTATCTCCCGCAGCCGGTCGTCGCCATCAGCGGAGCCCGCCTGCTGTTCCTGCTGCTCTAGCTTGTCTTTTAGCTGGAGAACGTGGGCGCGGAGTGTGTCGTGCGCCTGTTCGGCAATGTGGGCTCTCATCTCCTTCTCTGTAAGATCCACCAGAGACTGGTGAAGTTCCTGCTGTAGTTTCCTGTTGCGCTCCTGCAGACTGCGCACCTGCTCTTGCAATCGTTGATTTTCGGATCTATCCAATGGTTCGCCAACAGAAAGGGCATCTAGGCCGGCGGCTCCTACGGCGCTTGTGATGGAGGAGCTCATCTTGCCGCCGCCCAAAAGTTGGACGCGCAGTTTTTGAATTATATCCTTTAACATGTTAACCTCGGCCGCATGTGGATCTTGATTAACCACTGGCTTGTTCTTTATTTGTAGAGCACGGTCAGCGTAGCGCAATGTGCTCACCGTCTCCGCCGTATTATAGTCCGCCGGACTGACGCAGGCAATCATCAAGGTAATGGAGTTACCGCCGAGCGAGTCCTGGAGCAGTCTCGTCAGTTTAGACTGTCGGTAGGGTATGTAGCCAGGAGCATTCGTAGCTAAAAGAATGAAAGGTTTTATGGGTTTTGAGAAGGTCTTGAGGAAGAGACAAGAGCAATACTTACATCCCAAGGCATTTATCACATTGCCAAGTGCCAGCAGGCCCTTGTTGATATTTACGCCCTCCTTGAATCGATCCCCGCTGGCCAGAGTCTTCGAGCAGCGCTCCGAGCCCGCGAGATCTACCAGATTAAACTTGGAGGTGGTCACCGATTTCCTGGTGAGGAAAGCATTAGTAATCAGATGGAATATACTAGAGTGCGAACATACGTGCTATCCTTCTTGGTGGCTACCAGGGTGAGCGTAAATATGGCATGCGACCGCGAGGAGGTCTCATTCATGGCCGTGGCAGCCACTGCTCGGCCGGAAGATCCGCGCATCAAATAATCCGTCACCTCCTGGGCGGACTTCACTGCGAGCTCGGTCAGGCCAGGCATCACCACACGCTTGTTGACCTCCTTAATGTCAACCGTGATCTTGCCCGGTGAGAAAAGATCAAAGAACTGCTCCTGGTACAATTCCACAAAGGAACAGGTGACGCTGAAACTGTACTCCTCCTGCAGCTCGGCTATCTCTCGGAAAATGTCATCAACAGCGCGCGGAATTACGCCCGCGCTCTCGTCCATCACCCCGTTGTAGCTGGTGCCCATGGTGAAGGTTTTGCCAGAACCTGTCTGGCCGTAGGCGAGGATTGTAACGTTGTAGCCTTGCAGCAATTTCCTCTGTTTGGCCAGCACGCAGCTCTCGTAGATCTCTCTCTGTGTGGCGTCCACGTCGAAAACATGGTTGAATGTGAACGTCTCGGTCCGGTTTACTATTACTTGCGGTGCTCCAGGCGAGGTACGCTCTACGGCAATCCGGCAGCCGCGGTCCACCTCCGACTGCACCAGCGGACGCACACGCAGCGCCACAGCCACCGAGGTGGGATCCTCGTTTCCGCTGGACATCTAAATAAACAGATATGGACTGACAAAGGGAAACTAGTCAATTAAGAGGGAACTCACCTTTTATTTAACAAGCAAAACAAGGAAAACCACGGAATGTAACAAATTAATGACGCTAATTTAAAAAATGGTGGGCTCAGTGTGACCGCAGCGCGGTAGCGAGTTATCGATATCGATCCGCAAGCTGGCTATTTTTCTATTACGAACTGAAATGACGTAACTGCTTTGCGTTACACGTTAATTTGAATTTGAACCTTGTTACAGTTCAAACCGATCTAACGTAACGGATGACAAATTTAACATATTTTCGACTTGTTTATAAATAAACAAGAAATGAAATTAACTTTGGGAAGCCGAATTGGAATTTCCAATTTCATTCAATCAAATAATCACGTCATTCGTGTATTGGTTAAAAGTGTCTAGTTTCTAAATTTAGACACAGCTTTGTCGTTCTATCTTTATGTTAGCTTTTAAATTAGAGAAAACCCGAAAGCTATTTATAAAGAGTCATTTTTTAATTTCCCAGCTTGTGACAAGATGTCAATGTTAATAGGAAAAGTAAGATAAGCTACTGACTGGTTTAATAATTTACTGAAGTGCGAGTTTGAAATACATTCCACATTATTAAAGTTTTAACAAGTTAACTAAAAGATACATAATCTTTTAAAGGGTAAACCTTAAAGTTATACTTTCAAGAACTATGTTAAATTCAAGGGCTGATTTCTATCTAATTTGATTCAAGGCTATCTTTTATCATTATAGAAATTCGTTTTTAGTTTTATTATAATTGGAATACTATGTATATAATATAACTGGCAGAGACACGGTTGTTAATAGTAGAGGATCAATAAGTATCTTTCAACAGTAAGCATATATGAACAGTATGTAAGTAAGATTAGTAATTAACTATGATCAATTAGTCAATGAACATTATATAACTATGATCACTAGATAACTATGTTCAGTAAATAACTATGATCAGTAATTAACTATGATCAGTAAGTATTTATGACCAGTAAGTATCTATGACCAGTAAGTAACTATGATCAGTAATTATCTATGACCAGTAAGTATGTATGTATGATCAGTTACTAACTTTGAACACTGATAAACAATGACTTGCAACTTTTGTAACACAAATTTGAATATAAAGTCTAGACCAATGTCTGATACCACCAATAGCTTCTTCATACTTAATATAAATGTCATGGATAAGACTTACCGCAGTAGAGGACACGTGGCTCTTTCGTCATTGCTTACTTCCTCCCAGTACAGTGACCAAAAATGGTGACTTTATCCAAGTGAGCTTCTTCCTGGTCATCCAGATATATTGCATTGGCCACGTCATTTTTTTAGAATCGAAGGGTAATCACAATCACTATCACTGGAGATGTAAACGCTAGGTACCCCTAGGACAGACTGAAGCGCGCGCGCCCTCAGCGCCTCTATTTATAGTCCCCGAGGAAAGAGAAGAGAAGAGAAGAGAAAGTGAGTGTGAGAGCGCGGGAGAAAGGGAGTTGCCTCTAGAGATTAACATAGAGCGATTAACATAGCGAGAGAGGGGGAGAGACAGAGAGACAGAGACAAATAGCGAGCTGATATTTAATTGAACTATGAGCAGTACGTAACTCTGATCAGTAAGTATCAATGAGCATTTATTTTTTATATTTTTGTTTATATTCAAAAAACAATGAATATGTCTTAACATATTACAAAACTACTCTGCCAGAAGATACTCAAGTTCAAGAAACAATTATAAAACCCCCCCAAAGAAGATAAACATGGTTCTAATTTTTGCCATTCATAGAATATAATATAGAGTATATAATTGGAAACACCAATAATAGCACAAGACTCAATCACGGTCATCGCAGCACTTGTCGTAGATAATCGTGGAGGTGCAGGCCTCGATGGTCTCGTCAAAGAAATGGTCAAAGTGACAGGTCTCCTCCTCCACCGTCTTGCCATCGACACAGCGGATGAAGTTGTGACAGTTGTTGCTGCTGCTGGCCACCAGCATAGTTCCACGTCCTTCGCACCTGTTGAACTCGCACACCACCTGAGAGGCCGGAGCACAGATTTGCAGCTCCGCATCGAAGAAGTATCCCTCGCGGCACTGCATCCATACCGGGTCCAGATCTATCACTGGGGACAGGCCCTGGCAATAGAAGTAGCCGCGACATGTAGCCTTGTCGGACACAAAGGTCGGCTTTGTCGATTTGGAGCAGATGCCGGTCTTGGAGTGGGCCGAGCACTCTATCGTGCTCGGCTCCACACAACTTCCGCTCTCCACATCAAAGTACTGTCTCTTCTTGGTGGTGATGCACGTACCCACGGTGTGGCTCTCAGAGCTGTTACACTCGTAGTACTGGGCGCAGTCATCCTCCTTCCGGAACTTGGTCTTGCTCGGCACCAGCTCGCATATGTTGTTCACATCGACACAGGTCGAGTCCACGCCGTGCTGGCACGCCTGCTTGGCCTCATCAAAGTGCTGGCTGGACGGACACATCCCCGGGAGGGGCACACCATTCACGCAGTAGAAGTACTTGTGGCACTCGGTCGGATCGGCCACCCATTCGTCATTCTTGCCCTCGCACCGGTTGCCGCAGTACTTGTTACTATTTGCCAGAGTGTCCACACATTGGTTCTTGCTGGGACTGAAGGACTGGCCGGAGGTGCAGTTCAGGACTGTGCCCTCACCGTTGAGGCACTTGATGTACTGGTCGCAGGTTCCAGGCTTGCGAATCTGCGTGCCATTCTTGAACAGGCGGCAGAGCTCCTCGTACTCACCGGCGCTGGCCGCCAACGATGTCTGCCAAGTCATTAGGAAAATGCATCCGAGAAGCACTCCAAAATGACTTGATTCTGTAAACAACGGATTTCAATTGTTAACATTTATTTCTTAGCTAAAAATGACTTAAAAATTTGTATTGTCGGTCATTTGGTCGTAATATATAATTTGTTCAATCTTAATTGCTTCTACTTTATTCGGACTGATTTGCCAATTGGATTGTGGTTATTTGTTTTAAAGTCTTATCATCTCATAAATTAAAACAAAAGACCATTTTTAAGAGCTTTATTAATAATCATCAAGGACTTTCTGTTTTTCCTACTTCTAAGTTTAAAGCTCGTTCCAATAAATATGCATACGTTTAGGATTGTTTTGTTTAAAGAATTAACAAAAACAATATCCATAATTCTGTTTTAAACAAGCCTGAGCCGTCTCTCTTCATTTAAATTGACTTTTCCAGGTTGCTGGTAAAATATTTTAACAGTGTACTTGGGCATTTTTGATAATACTTACTCGGCATGGCTGATTGTTGGGGAATTTGGTTTAATTTGCTGGGGAAGAGATCGCGTTGTCTGATGTGGCCTCGGGTACTAATTGCTCCCGACTAAATGGAGTTTCGTGAATGGAAAAAGTTTATATTAACCAGCGGCGAACATGGCTGCTGCCACCGACTGAGTGCCTGGTTGATAAGCAGCTGCGAATCTTATCGATGTTGTGCCAAAAACTACGTAAACCCCTTCAAGTGGCCAGTAATTTGCGATGCAAATCATCCGCGAAGAGGAGTCTGTCTGGGCGTGGTGTCCCCAATGTCAGTTTGGACACCTTACGAACACTAGTTGGAATGGAAATGGAAATGAAACTGGTTAATGAGTTGTTGGGTCTTATCTTAAACAGAAAATAGCCGTTTATTGGCTGCTAATTAATTGAACTATAAATATATTAATCGCGTAATCGCAGCAGTCACAAGTTATTGTGCTTGAATGGCCGCCGTAAATATGACAAAATGATAAAGTCGATTTCAAATTGTTTTTGGGAAAAATCAGAGCTTTAACCAAAAAGAAGAAAGAACGATTATCATTTATGGTCTATTCACCTCCCACCACCTGCACGTAAAGTTTCCACGATTTCATGATATTTTTAATTTACATTAATTATATTTTTTTTGTATGGTTATATATATGATAGAAAGCATTTAATCAACATATTTGTGTTTACACAAAAGGATAAATCGGTGGCTCCATAGGTTATAAATATTCGTGATTAGCATCATCAGGGGATTCAATTTAGTGTCCCAGAAATAAATAAATAATTCAAATTATGTATAGCTTAGTTAAAGCCTCAATTTTTCGTTTAATTCGTATAAGATAAATATATTGTTGTGATTTTTAGTATAATCTGATGATAATCATGGAATTATATACATATGTAACCTCCTAGCTCGATCTCTGCTCTCAGCTGATTAATTAATTAAGTATCAAACCGTGATTGCTAAGTCTTAAAATAGATAATTAAACTCATTTATGTTTCCTTGCCTAAATAGCTCTGCCCTTATCGACTTTTTCCTGATGGTTAACAAAACAAAACATCCTCAATCAACAAGTATATTTGCAAGATCCCTTTAATAGTCCAAATAACTTTTAAAAGCAGAGAAAATTATTTATTTTCATTTACACGCGGCGTAGCTTAGGACACCCGGGACACAGGCGCCCTGGTTCTCATCGAAGAAGAAATTGCCGCAGGACTTCTCCGCCTGGGTGATGCCATCATCGCATATCAGATAGTTGCGGCAACCGGTGGTGCCACTGGCCACAAAGGCTGACGTGCGACCATCACATCGATCCCACTTGCAGGCGACCAAGGTGGGGTGCTTGCAGGTCTGGCTGGAGGAGTCAAAGAAGTAGTCTGGGGGACACTGATTCCAAGAGGGATTCGGATCCGGAGTGCCATCCGCCTGTTTGGTGCAATAGAAGTAACCGCGACAGGTGGCTCCATCCGTGACGAATTTGTTTTCCAATGGTTTCTTGACAGTGCCGCAGACATTCGATGGCAAGGGATGGGCCTCGCAGTCCACCAAGGCCTTGGCCACACAGGTCCCTGTGCTGGCCTGATAGTATGAGGTGCTGGCACAGGTCTTGTCCTTTAACACACCCTTCTCGCAAACGTGATACTTGTTGCATCCCTGCAGGTTGTCAAAGTTCACGCTGTTCTTCACGATGCTGCAGTACTCGAAGCTGCTGGCCGTGCACGCCGATTCGAAGGTGCGGGTGCATGTCTGGGTGGTGGCATTGAAGTGAGTGTCCGTGGGACATTTTCCATAGAGGGCCGTCTCCTTGTCTGAGCAGTAGTAGTAGCCGTAGCAGGACTTGGGATCGGCCACGAACTGGCTGTCCGCCTCCTCGCAGGACACCGAACAGGTGGAGTCATCAGTCAGGGCTTTCACACACTTGCCAGTGTCCTTGTCGAAGAAGGGCGTCGATCCCGAGCAGGTGCTGTAGTGGCTCACGGAATTGATGCAGGTAATCGACTGGCCGCAGGAATCGGGATCGCGGATCACGGTGTTGTTGGAAAACAGACGGCAGATGTCCTCTTCCCTGCCATTAGCCACCCCAAAGCTCTGGACCAGCAGCAGCACCAGTGCCAGGCCAACAAAGGCTTTCGGTTCTGAAAGTGTGATCACATCTTGGTTACTCGAAGTCTCAATACAGAAGTTAACAGTCACTCACTTTCCATTGCAAAAATAGAACAAATTATCGGCAGGCAGCTCAGCACTCGACGAACTAATAAACCGAACTGAGTTCGCTCCTCGGCGACGATTGCTTTTATTGACACTATATAGCCTATATGGGAGGATCAGCAGCGATCCGCAGTTTATTTATTTTTATTGGCCAGATAAGCGAATTGATTTTTATTCTGGTTAAAATCAAAAGGGTGTGCTATACAAAGAGGTACCCTGTATCCTGGCTTTTAATATATTTAAAATGTATCTTTGTATATTTATATTATTGTTAATTGAAATTTTTATTAAAGCTCCGTTATGGTTTTTATTTAGTTAATTTAAAGTGGAGTATTTGATTTTAATCTAAAGAAATAAAGTATGCTAATTCTGCTCGAACCACATCTATCAAGATCTTATTTTCTGGGTGTAGAAACATAATATGTAAACAAAAATGCAATGCTTTATCTCTAACTGAGGTCTGCACACATGAATAAATAATACCTTACTTTGAATTATAATATATATTATATAATATAATATTGGTAACTGGTAATTCAAAGTCTGTAGTTTCATAAAAATGAACTTTTTTTTGGCAACTGATATATAAAATAGGAACCAGATAAGATTAATAAAAGTAAGGCAGCAGCTTAGTTAATTCATAAACTACAACTTAAAGAAAACTATATATAATGACGCAAAATCTAGGGTTTATGAACTTAAATTTATGGTAATTTGGAAAACAAAACTGATTACTACTGATTTCTTACAATCCCTTGGCAATATCATAATAGACATTATTTCATTTTGGACTTTTATATGATGTCTTTGATTGTGGAAATCAATTTCAATTGCATATTTATAAGCTGACTTTAAAAATTATTGCAGTATTCTTTTGGAGAAATAATAAAAATATGTTTATAACTATCCTTGATTGATTAAAAATTTGTTATACCCTTGCAGTGTAAGTAAGTAACTATGATCAGTAAGTATCTATGACCAGTAAGTAACTATGATCAGTAAGCAACTATGATCCGTAATAAACTATGAGCTTTAATTAACTATGAGCAGTAAGTAACTCTTAACAGCAGCATGGCGAATCGGTGGACTTTATAATATACATATATATATCTGCCATAGGAACGATCGGAAAATTTTAAGAACAAAAATAATAACTTTTCCAGTTTTCAATGGATTTTCATCAAATTTTAACAACATGACAAAATATGAGTATAATAAATAGTTATATGGAACTTAATTTCTTTTTAAATTAATATAATATGCCAGAAGGATAGCAATTCAACTAAAATTTATTGCATATTTATGTGCCGTCTCACCTTTATTAGAAGTATGCTTTTAGGTAAAAATATACATTTCTTTTAATTAATGACTAAAATATTCTATTCTTGAATGTGATCATGTAAGCATAATCATACTATTAGAGAAGGATATTTCTATACATTTAGATTATAGTATATATACACATATTTTCTAAGTATTAACGAAAATTTATATGTATTGGAGACAAGCTTTTCTTTACTTAAAGAATGTCTTTACCGACATTATTACTCATACGCAGTGTGGACTTTGCTCGAATATTCATGAAGCTTAAATGATCTTTATTACAACTAATAAAAAATTAAATCTTATACTATACACTTATTGATTAGAATAGTTTTTAAAAAAACCTCACATATAGATAGACAAAATCAATGCATATTAATTAAGAAACTGGTAAATCACTAGCTTTTCATTATGCACTCAAGTGGTCGCTAAACTGTTCCCATCATCACCTCAACATTTGTGATTAGTTCAAGAGCAAGTCGAAGCCAAGATTCCAATGAAGATATGTAACTAATGTCGTGTCGCCGAAATGAGTACCCAGATACCGGGAAACGCCAATGAGCGATCAATAAGAGCCGTGGCATTCATGCCTCCCTGCCTTGCCATACGTTTAAATTAAAAAACAATTAGAGACAAAGAAGGCTCGCAATCAGCAGCTGATAATCCGAATTCCAACCAAACTGTCATGTCAAAGGAAAAAATATACCGAGTTATATATAAACAATAAATATATATATATCTGGAGGGTCCGCTGACCAGGCTCCGATTAGAGAATATAAGGCAGTCCATTGTGGCCGGGTGCGCTAGTTTCACTTTCGACGTCCAACGCTGTTGAGCCGGGAGCTAACCCCCCAAAAAGAAAAAGAACTTAAGGATGAAAGGTGCGTGCTTTACCCGAGAGACCTTAGAATCTTATCTAATTTTAATTGCGATACTAACGCCCTGTCGGCGGCGGGCTTATCTGGCTGACAATTTTTAATTAACCGCTCTGCCGTGAGCCCGGGTATGGGCCAACTATATAAACGCAGAGCCTGCGATTGAAAGGGTTAGTACCGGAATTGGAACATTCGCTTCAGTCGTTTCTGTCAAGCGAATTAAGTCACTATATAACCAGTCCCAAGATGAGAGGTACGTAAGTGTAGGCCTGAGTCCCTAAGGATGGATCTATCACACGGAGAGTTAGTGCAAATTACCAGTAATGTTGTTTGAAAAACTCTCCGAAAATCTCTTTAAATTATAATATTGTTTACTCTGAGTGATTGATTAAGTAATGAGGAATAAGTTCAAATAATGTAAATAACCATTAGGAAGGTTAAAAATATTTATATATATATATATAAATCTCTTTGAAGACTATATAAACCATGTGCATGGAGAGCAACTCTTATTTTCTTTCTTAAATTTATGATTTATAGTCTAAAAAACAAGTAGTGATTAATGATAAGATCAACCTAGATTTACCATTATTCCTTATAAATCTATTTCAGGTTTCGATACGAGGATCTGTGCCCTGGTGGCCTGTCTTCTGCTGGCATCGCAGGCCAGCGGCTATTCGATGGAGCAGATGTGTGCCCAATGGTCGGGCACTGGATATGTGGGTAATCCAACCAACTGCCGCGGCTGGGGCTACTGCCAGGGCCAGGAGCTGGTCGCTTGGGGCACCTGTCCCGACAACTATATCTTCAACTCGCAGAAGGGTTCCTGCGGATTCGCCAAGAACACGGTCTGTGCCACCAGCGCTGTTCAGACATGCTCGTCGGCCGCCTCGCCCATGTATGTGGCCGATCCGACCAACTGCACCCAGTATGGATACTGTGACGGCAAGGGCTCCATCGCCTATGGCAATTGCGGCGTCGGCGGCGTCTACTCCGCCGCCATCGGCAAGTGCGTGTGGGGACCGACCTGCCCCCAGAGCACCCTCTGCCAGTTCATGTTGTCGGACATCTATGTGGGCGATCCGGATAACTGTGGCTCCTATCTGAGCTGCAGCAATGGCTACGGCACCCCGGGAACTTGTGAAACCGGCCTTACCTATAACTTGGTCACCGGCAATTGTCAGAAGACAAACACATGCAGCGGAAGTGGTAGCGATAGTGGTAGCTCCAACGGACAGTTCACTATTGGCCAAACAGATGCCAAAATCTGTTCAACCGGATTTGCCAAGGCACCTACAGTAACTGGCCAGACCTATAGGTTCGTTAGCGACATGACCACCTGCTATGGCTTCTACTACTGTGCATCGGATACCGCAGTTGGCACCTGGAACCAGTGTCAAGTCGGCACCCACTTTAATCCTACTTTGGGCGAGTGCGTGTCGCCAGCTTCTTACGCTTGTCCCTACAACCGATGCGGCAACGTTAAATCCCAGTTCATGACCACCTTGGGTACATCCTGCAAGGGCTACATGGTGTGCTCCAGCGGCGCCGACCTCAACTGCCCCACCACCAGTCCTTACTACAACGAGGTCTACAACATTTGCTCCACCGAGAGTCCTGCATTCGCCGTTTGCACATCTTCCTAATTTGTATGTTCAGCTATGTGACTTTCCCGACAAAGATCGATGATAAACGCAACATCTAATTAAACAATAAATAATTTGACATAAGGGAACGCTTTAAAAATCAATAAAAAAATACGCTGGCTTCGACTAATCGGGATTCGATTAAATAGGTTAATTAATTCTGTGGTTAATGGATGCTATGACAATTCAATAAATGTATTAATAGGGGCTTTGCAAATATGTAAACATCTTATTGGTCGTTAAATAGTTAATACGGTTTTAACTTTGTCATGAACATTTAATGGTATTAAACGGTTTTTTAAATAACTTTAGAAACTTATTGTATTAAAGATAAGTTTCCACTTCTTATTTTGTCAATTTTGGTTTCTATTCATGTTTAAAGAAATCTGATAATTCTAAAAGGAATCAGTTAGTTATTACAAGAATATTAACATAAATTGATATATTATTTAATATATTTTCCTAAAATTATTTTCAATCTTAATCAAACTATGAATTCCAACTTCATTCGATTCTATGGCCTCTAAACTCTCCAATTCTGTGAAATTCTAGGATATCCCATGGTTTTTCATGAATTAACAAAATAATATATTAAATAATTCTCTTAAGTTTGCATAGTTACGTAGGAAAGTTATATAAGGGTATTTTTATCAATATATGTATATGTATATTTTATACGCGAAATTTATTCTTGAGCTCAGACTTTTTTGAGATAACTCATAACTTATATGACATATAAGGATACATCTAGAAAACATATTTAGATTTCATCTCTTTTAACCTTTTCTCTTTTATTGTTACAAATTTTTAATAATTCCAAAAAAATTGTTAATGTATGAGTCATTGAAAATAGAAATCAGGGGTAGACCTCAAAAAAAGAAAAAACTAATTGATATCACAAATAAGAAATAACATGTCAATATGTTGGGAATTCGATCGCATCGTTCGTTCGTGTTTCAAGAGCTCCTCGGATGTTCGAGAAGCCACCACCAGCAGCTCTTGGCATCCACTTCCAATGTCATAGCGACGGATCCCATCGCAACATCTGCAATTTCCCTATCGACGGGAGGGGCCATTGATCGGTGCGATATCACCAGGAGGAGTTTTTTTTATTTTCTGAAAACTAGACAACGACAACGATGTTATTGCCGTGTAATTTACATTCGGCCCGCGCTATCGTACATCAGAAAATCAGCGCTATCATCGAGTTCTGATTGAGATAGTGGCACTGACAAGGGGTTCCTTTGGCATGTGCATTTTGGAAATTGTTTTTTCGGCGAACAAAAACAAGCAGAATGGCCTTTGCATATTTAAAGGGCGTCAGCATCCGATGCTGCAGTATCAGTATTGTTGTGGTTGCTGCCACTGAGAGATCGCAACGGAACGATTCAGACACCAGGATAAATATTAACAAAAAGGATATACACCATGATGAGAGGTATTTGCAACAGAACAGAATGCTAGGATACTTTTTTTCAAAAAGGATAAGAACTCTTTTTTGGTAGTGAAATTTGTGGCTGATTCTTTAGATCTCCGAGATCTTGTTAAAATATTTATAAAATATATACTTCATTTTCCAACAATATAAAAGACTTACGCATTTTAAAGAGTGTTCTAGTTCTTATTAGTATTTATTATATTTTAATGGTGGAAAGTAAAGCCAGAATATGCAACAAGAAATATAAATTTAAATCTGCTATAAATTATGAATTAAAAGTTAGGCCAGATCGTTATTTAAGGATCAAACACAGGATCTTGCTTGTTAATTGTTGTTGGTAACTAATATAAGGATAAGATAATGTTGTGCTCTTTATAATTTTTAGCTTAAAAGCAAAAGAAATTCCTGCTGAATCGTTTGTCAATTAACAATTTGTAAAAGTAAAGGAAATAATTCGATTTTATTTTCTGCTTTGATAACAATTCAATTAAATACCTAGATATTTAATGATTCTGATCACAAATCTCTGCTCTTGCAGCCAGCGGTATCCTGTCGCTGCTGTTTGTGGCCAGCGCCTTGGGCGGTGTGATCGAGGACTTTGAATACCTGTCGGTGGAGGATATGTGCGGACTTCTGCCTCAGGACACCAGTCTGTTGCGCCCCAGCACCTGCGACAATTGGGTGCGTTGCCCTAACAGCCTGGAGGCTGCCGTGGAGCAGGGAGCCTGCGCTTCGGGTCTGTACTACGACAAGGACCTTGGCCGCTGCATCCTCTCCTCGAGTGCCAAGTGTCCCTACAAGGGCCAAGTTGCTGCGGAACAGGCCAAGAACTACTGCGCCAATGAGACGGACGGCTCCTTCGTGGTGGACCCCAGCAGCAATGACTGCCGCGGCTACATCCTCTGCAAGAACGGCAAGCAGATCCGTGCCAATTGCCCCAACGAGCTGGTCTTCCAGCCCACATCCAGGTCCTGTGTGTACGAGAAGCAGTACCAATGTCCCAAGAGCTCCGTGAAGCGAAGCGATCCCGCCTGCCGTTCGCTGCCCAACAATACGCGCCTGGCCGATCCCGTCCACTGTGATCAGTACTACGAGTGCGTCAATGAGCTCCTGCACATCCGATCCTGCCCAGCCCTCAGTGCCTACGATGTTGCCCTCGGCTACTGTATGAATGTGTCCGAGGTGGCCTGCTACGAGACAGCCGCCCTGCCGGAGCCGGAGAACACCTTCTGCCTGGACGAAGCCACCGGATCCGCCCGCGTTGGTTACTTCGCCGACGATCTGTCCTGCGCCCACTACTACATCTGCAACAAGCCCAAGGCCGGCAAGCACGACACGGAGCCCAGGCACCTGAGCTGCCCGCTGGGTCAGTACTTTGATTTCGAGAAGCTCTCCTGCCGCGACCGCCTCAATGTGCGCTGCCAGCTGGACAGGTGCGTGGGCACCAACCTGACCTACGTGAATGTCGCCGGCGATTGCCAGAGCTATGGACGCTGCTCCGGCGGAGTGACCGTCAGCACTGGCCACTGCCCCACCGGCTACTACTTCGACGAGCGCAACCAAGGATGCTCGCTCACCAACTACCACTACATCGCCTGCTCCGCCTAGGCCAGGCACAGCCACAACCACACCCACACCCACAATCACACACTAATCCACACCAATTCCCACTTCCAATTCTAATTTCAATTAAAAATCCAATTTTAAACACTAATAAATCGATCCAAGTCATGGTGGAGGTCAAATGCATTTTAAGTTTTCGATTATTATATTTCCTTGGTGGGTCATTTTAGGGTTTCGCACTACGCAAACTTTAGAAACTTAATATTAATATTATAATGAAATATAACTTCATACATGTAATTATGATTAAATTGAATAAAATTAAAAGATTTAATAGAAAATGCTTACAAGTCCTTTGTTATATTATATAAAAATTATTTAAACTATCAATTATGATGGAACGGAAATGTTCACTAGGGTAACCGATAAAACTCTTGGCAGCCCTTCTTTGCTATCAATACCTCGCCACACTCACACACACTTTGATATATATTTTTTGGCAATCTGTTTTCTTGACAGTTTGAGTGCCGAAAAGTATTATCAGTTTTAATTAAAAGAGTACCCCAGTGCCGGGTTCGTAGAATTCAACACCGATTCCAGATAGGCCACCGATAACAGATTTTCCATTCGCCGATGCCGCGATCACTTATTTCCGCATTTACCTTGGTCTGAACAAGAGGTCTCCAAGCATGCTGGAGAAGGTTATATTTTAGAATAAGTAATTAAAAATATTTATAACTAAGTAGAAAAAGAGGAAATTCGGGTGCATTGAAAGCACACCCGGCGTATGAGTGATATTAAGTATTTATTTTTTATATGTCATAAGAAGATCTTTGACTCTCTTGAAAGTAATGCCTAAAACAATTTAAATAAATTATATTAATTTTCTTAAATTTTAAATTGAATTTGCAGATTTGTTAACATACTCAAAACTAGCATTGACAAGCTTTCCAAATTAATATTAATTCATTTTTATCTTAGCTATGGGTTTTTTAAGCTTTGATTTGTCAAAAAAAAGTTACATATAAAAATCTCGATAAATATTGATTCGGAAAATACGAATTAACCTTCGCTATAATCAATTATCGATTCGATTCTATAATTTAATTGCAAACTGCAAGGGTATATATGTTTATTAGTTTCCTTTCTTATTATTGATAAAATTACATATATCAAAATATTTTTGAAATCTTGTAGGTGTTTAAATATAATCAAGTACACAGTATCATAAGTACAAGGAATATTACAAATTTTAAATCGATTTAAAAGATTCTTCATGGCGGCCATTTATATCGGCCATTAACATCCTGTTAAAAAATATGTTGCATACCGCAGGGGTTTCTTTACATACTGAAAATCTCTTAAACGAAGTTGAACTACTTTGAACTTAATTAATGATTATTTATATTATTTAAAATTTTTATAAACATAGATATATGCGTAAGAATTTCTCTATTTTCCATACTGCAAGGGCAACTTAACCTTAATTGGCCTTCCAAATTTTTAGTGCTCAAGATAGCGGCAAAATTTGATTTGATTTGTTAGGTTCGTACTTTTCCATTCAGCAATTCTATTACCATGCTGCTGTGTTGGGTTTCCCCAACTAAACGAGAGCGTCACATGAATGGGTGCTATATAAGGCAGTGGCCTCACACTTTCCCCCCAAAAAGGTGCTCAGGAGTATGACATCATGGCTGGAAGCAACCTATCATACCTTGTTTTCCCCCAATCGTTTCAAGCAAATCTAAGCCAAACAGCGATCTGGTAACTTAATGGTAACCACAATCGATAGCAGCCTCTACATGGTGTACTTATATTTATTACGGCAAGTGTTTAATTAAAAGTGATTGCGTTCGAAGCTCACGAGACCGAGCTGGTGGTGGTGCCATCATCACTCACCGCCGTCCGCTGCTCGATGGTCGTCGCCTCCGAAATCACGCAGGCGGTAAAAGATACCGTCTGCGTTGTGCAGCGTTGTGTCAGCTCATCGAAATACTCATCCTGCGGACAGGTGCCCTGTCCTATCGTGACGCCATCCTGGCAGATGGCATATCCACGACATCCATCATCCGACTCGTTGGCCAGCTGAATGGTGTTGTTCCCCAGGCCGGCACATCGATCGAAGTCGCATTTCACCTTGGAGCGGGGCACACATGCTCCACCATTGGTGGTCAGGAAGAACCTTTCGTTGGAGCACACCCCATGCTCCAAGGCTATCTCTCCGTTCTCCAATGCCCGGCAGTAATAGTAACCATTGCAGGTTTTGCTATCGGAAATAAATACTCCAGCTTCGGGACACACTCCCTCTGCGGCAATATCCGGCGCTGGGGTTACGGCGCATTCCACATCCTCTGGATAATCGCACTGGGCTGTCGAGGCACTGAAGTAGAAGGTGCCCGGGCAGGTGCCATTTATCACCTGAGAGTCCCAGCACATCTGCCAGCCATTGCAACTTGTTGGGTCCTTGATGAAAACGCCATCGGGCAGAATGTTGCAGTAGCTATCAGGATCCATTTTCTTAGGGCATGGGAAATTCCTGATGCAATCCTCTGTTCCCGGATTGAAGTTCATTCCCTGGTTGCAGACCCCAAGATTTCCCTGTCCGTTTACACAGTAGTAATAGCCATTGCAGGAGTACGGATCTTCTGTGAAACCATTGGACACTGCTGCACAGGGATCACTGGACAGGCACTTGACGCTGTCAGAGCTCAAGCACTCCTCGCTCTCCCGGTCGTAAAAGAGACCAGTGCCGCAGGTTCCACTCACAGGCTGCCCATCGATGCACTGTATCCAAGCATTGCATGCCCGCGGATCATTAATCTTGGTTCCACTGACCACCAGAGAGCAGATGACAGAGGGATCAAAGGTAGCGGAGCTCAAGGAGATCATTAACAAGCCAATAAGCAATTGAATCGTAGTAACTGCATTTAAAAAATATATATTATTTAACTTTAAAATATATATTTTTAGATATAGTTGCTACTCACTCATCCTGCTTGATTACAGCAAACTTTTAAAACAAAATATTAATTGTAGTAGCAAACGACGGCAAGAACGTCTTACTGGTCGCCGTCCAACTTTAACAATAAATATATACCCAAAGACAACACTCACATTGCGTGTTGCTTCTGGGCCATTCCGAAAGGTCTATAAATTTGGCAGCATTACCCTAGAGCCAGAACTGTCGTCAGTGGCTAAAATCAGGGTTTTATCACATTTTGTTAAAGCCAAATTTGACAAGTGATAAATTTGGCCATTGGCATTGCGCAGCACAACTTTAATTTGATATTTTTAACCTAATGATAAGCAGTATTCAAAACATTTTACATATATGAATATTTTCAAGCATTTCCTAAAAGCGAATACATAGTAAATTTTAAAAGTTATTAGCTAAATTTAGGTAATAAATAATCAATTGAATTATTCTCTTTATCTTCAGAGTTTGAAGCTGATAAGCGTGCTACATACGACATAATGGTATTAATAGACTGTGATGACCAATTTCTTCTGGAACAAAAATGATTTTTGGAATTTGTACACTGCCATTAAAAGAATAACAAACTAAACAATAAATTAAAGGCAGTAAATAGGAGTTTAATCCGTTATTTAATTTATGAAAGTCTATTGTATTATTGTGAAATTTTTAGTTGAGTACCAAATTAATTGAGAGATTATTTTAATCTCTATTTTGAAAATAAAATATTTATTGCCTCTAGTTGTGCTCTTCCTTGAATAGTAAACATCACCTGCAGTTTATCACTATATCTAAACATAAATATATCTGCGTCAGCCTTTAGAGCTTTATAGACATCAGTAAAAGTTATATGATAATCAAACAAGATCGAGTTTTTCCTATGTTAAGTTTGTACTTTTCCATTTCAACCTATTTTATTAGCAATCCCCATTTAAACGATTCCCAAATGTCTGCTGATTTCACCTCCATCAATATGAATGGGTGCTATTAGCAGCTACCCCGTACAATTATTATTTTTTCTTTGAGTATGACATCATGGTAACATTCTATGTCCCCCAATCGATTCAAAGAAATCTAAGCCAAGAAGTGATCTGGTAACTTAATCGTTATTGCGAATGATAACAGCGCCTGGTGGGCTTTATATTTATGACAGCAGCTACGAGAGAGCCAAGGGTCTAATTAAAAATGATTACGCTCGAGGGTCACGAGACACAATTTTTTTCTTAGATAATGATAGCACATTATCGACTTCCGATCATTATTATTATTATAATTATTGAGAGAGATATCACTTACCCTGTGAAGGCTCCATAAATTTTGCATACACTACCAAAGAGTCGGTACTATCGTAAGTCTTTAAATTCCGTAAATTTATATGACTGTTTTATCAAATTTATTAAAAGCCTTATTTGACAAGTGATAAATTTGTTTTGGTGGCAATAGGACAAAGTGCATCAGTTCAAAGATCGATTCAATCGATTGTATTATTTCTAACGTTAACTTGTTAATAAACAGTACATATATATTTAATAAATATAAATTATATATAATTAGTTTTATTATTTCTTATCTACGGCCAAACTAGATAAGTTAGCTAAGCACGAAATAATTTTATTTATAAATTGAAGTGACTAATTTCAAGAATAAATCGAATTATAAAGTTTGAGGGCTATCATTGAATTCTTAAGATTACTACTTTTAGCCACATTATAATCCATAAAAGTCAACTGAGTCACAGTTGGGGAAAATTCGATAAGGGCCATAAACAAAACCTAAAAGCCATTAAATAATACTTAAGATTATTTTAATCTTTTGTTTGTTATCTGATTTTTTTGGAAAATGAATCTAATATAAGTATATTTCTAAGAAAAAGGGGCTTTACAATTCAAGTGATAGAATTTTTGTTGATACATTTAATCTTATCACATTTTCTCTTAAAAACATATTTTTGGTAACTTCTTTTAATTGATTTATTGTCTTTTCTAAAGAGCATGGGTTAGTTTTTTATTATAATTTATTTTATTTTATAAAAAAAATTATTATTATTTTTTAAAGCAACTGTTTACTATGATATGAGACTTGTTTATATTCCCTATTGTATTTGTTGTTTAAAGATCATTCAAGTTTAAATATTTATTGAGGAATCAGTTGTGATTGCTCTATTAATTGACAGTAACTCCAGTTTCTGGTAAGAATTCCCCGAAACTCTGTGGAATTTCTCATGACACTACCTTGTTGACTAGCTGTCCAAAACAAAAAGGCCATCGATCATGCAGAAATAGAAATTATTCCAACCATTGGTGGCCAAAAAATCCCATACATCACCAGGTCAAAGACGTGTCGTCGATCAAGTTGGACACCCAAGTGGTTCGCAGATATGAATATGGCCGGGCTTCCAATAAAAACCCAGGGAAGGCCGACATAAGGGAACAGTATTCAACTAGGAGCTACTAGGAAACCAAACAGCCGAATAATGGGTGGGTTTCCAACAGAATCATCTAGAGAAATATGTGAAAGTAATCTATAAAACTTAATTACAGGTGGACTTAAAGGATCCATCATTGCCGCCATGGCGCTGCTGCTCGCCTGTGCCGCCCCAGCCACTGCCAATGTGAATGTCACAGCCCTGTGCCTCCTGGTCAACAATGGCGTCTACGTGGCCAGCCAGACGGATTGCACCACGTACTACCAGTGCCTGGGAACGGGTCCCACTGCCATGTCCTGCCCCACCGGCTACTACTTCGACAAGAATGCACAGCAATGCTCTAGCACCGTTCCGAGCACTTGCACCGTCAGCAGCAATCCCTGCCAGGGCAAGGCGGTGGGCACCTTTGCTCCATCCAGTTCCACCTGCGGCGGCTACTACTATTGCGGCGCCTCTGGAGCCGTGAGCGGTCGTTGTCCCAGCGGAGAGAACTTCAATCCCACCACCATGGCCTGCGTGTACTCGAACCAGTATCCTTGCCAGGATTCTCCTTCCACTGAAAGCGGCAGCGGCGGCACCGTCACCTCTTCGGTGGCCCTGAATCTGTGCAATCTTGTCGAGAACGGCATGTACTTTGGCAGCCCCACCAGCTGCTCCGGCTGGAACTACTGCCAGGACAATGTCCTGCACTCGGGCACCTGCGAAACCGGAAAGTATTTCAATGTGCAGCAGAAGAACTGCGGCTACCAGCAGTCCACCTCCTGCTCCCAGGTCACCAACGATCCCTCGCTGACGGGCGTCACAATTCCGACCACCTGCACCCAGGCGGGCACCTTCAAGGCGGCCACCGCCTGCAATCAGTACTACTTCTGCAATCCCAGTCTTAACTACCAGCTGATGACCTGCCAGACGGGCTACTTCTATGACACCATCTCACAGATGTGCGTGGTAAGGACCCAGGCGAGGAACGACTGCGATCGATGCGTCGGCACCTCGGCCTCCTTTGTGAACGCCTATTCGACCAGCAACTGCTCCGATTACCTCTACTGCGTCAATGGTGTCCAGAAGGCTGTGGAAACCTGTCCCATTAACTACTATTTCAACGAGAACACTGGCAGCTGCTCCAACTCCGTGGAGCCGCCGTTCCTGTGCTGCAATCCCACGCTCAGCACGGGAGAGGCCACCACCAGCGGCACCACTGCAACTACTGCTGGAACCACAGCCAAGTCTGATGGCACCACCGCCACAACGGATGCCACCACCTCTACCACTGCAGCGAAATAATTCAAACTGTTTGAATTTTTAAATACAACATTTATGTAACATATATCCTTGCAATCAAATAAATCCCAAAAATACAAGAAAGCCTATTTAAGCTCCATTGAAGTCTCCCTATATCCTTAAAATGATATTGCATGAAAGGAACCTAACTTAACGGTTTTCAATAACATCTTTAACTAAAAAAAATGTATTAAATGATAAACTAATACATACCCCTTTACTTTATATATTAGAAAGACCACGATTACTAGCTTAAAAATCAATGGAACCGACTCCTTCAGGGATTAAATTAAATAAAGCTACCCCAACGTAACAAATCCTTACCTTGACAGTTAAATGAACACAACAGGAAAACGTTTGTGGTAGCTTTCAAGGAAAATCTTAGATCAACGATAAAAATGTCGCTGTACATATTGTGAGTACCTCGTTTAATTATTAAGTTGCGAAACAGATATAAATGAACAGCGATAGTGTCTGGCATTGGGTGGGCGCAAAGAGCTTAAATTTAATTAAAGTTGGTAAGTTAACCAACAGACAAGATGTTCCCGCTCGTATCGGGCCGAATAAATATAAAATTTAATCATGTATTTCATGTGTGTCTGTAATTCCTGAGAAGCGTGAGCTTATCTGCGGCCAATTTATGATCTAGATGGCCAAGTTCGAGGCGCAGGCCTATAAAAACCAAGCGCTGGAAAACCTACGACATCAGTCTTCGGCAACCTTTCGTTGGCCAATACAAGTTCCCGAGTTATCCGAGTATTAACCAATAGCAATGACAGGCAAGTGTTTGACACCGGATCCAATTGGTTCGAACTGGGAAATGTTCTAACCAGGGAATTTGTGATTTACAGGAAAACTCCTTCTGGCGACGGTCCTGTGCCTGATGGGCGGCACCGCCCTGGGCGACGTGATCCTCGAGGGTAACTACAACGTCACCGCTTTCTGCTCGTCCGTCAAGCCTGGCACCCAGCTGGGCAGCATCCAATCCTGCAACTACTTCTACGTCTGCTCGGCCTCCGGACCCGTTCTCTCCCAGTGCCAGAGTGGCTATGCCTACGACTACGCCAAGAGCACCTGTGCCCCGGAGAGCCAGGTGAGCTGCTTTTGGGGCGTTGAGAACCCGTGCGGCGGCAAGAACGGCACCTGGGTGCCCAACACCAATGTCTGCGGTGGCTACATCTACTGCCTGAACGGTGTTAACAATGGAACCGGCAGGTGTCCCGGTGGCCAGAAGTTCGATACGAGCATCAGGCAGTGCGTCTATGGTAGCTGCAACCTGGTCGAAAGCGACGAGCCCAACCTGAGCAGCCTGTGCGATGTCATGCCACCCGGATACTACTTCGGCGATACCGGATCGTGCGCCACCTGGAACTATTGCCTGAGCACCACCACTGGTATCACCCTGAAGACCGGCACCTGCACGGGAGATAGATCTGTGAGTTATAGTATATAATATAGAAACAAGAACGGATTTTGGATCTCCAAAAGAATTGTCCGTTTAGCTGACTAGTTTACCAAAAGTATGCTACATTTTTACATTGCTTGACAGGCCTTTAACGTCAACACCGGAAATTGCGATTACCCCACCACCAATACTTGCACCCGTGTCACCGATAATCCTCTGAGCCAAATCGCCGCCGGATGCACCACAAATGGAGCCGTGAAGGCCGACACCAGCGTGTGCGGTCAGTACTATCAGTGCAAGAACCAGCAATGGACCGGAGTGGCCTGCCCCGTCAACTACTACTTCGATGTGAACTCGGAAATCTGCCAGCCGCGCCAGACTGCCACTCCCTATGAGGGCTGCAACCGCTGCCAATATGCCACCACCAAATTTGTGAATGCCGTCGATGGCACTAACTGCGCGAACTACTATTACTGCAACAGCAACGGCGTTGGCTCCGAGGTTACGTGCCCCGAGGACTTCTACTTCAATGAGGATCGCCAGGGCTGTGTGCCCGACTCCACACTGTCAACGTATGTGATCAACCACGGTGCCTGCAAGGGTGCCACTGCCTCTGATGATACCAATACGACGCCTAAGGATGATGATGATACCCCTGCTGCTGGTGGTGATGATGATACCCCTGCTGCTGGTGGTGATGATGATACCCCTGCTGCTGGTGGTGATGATGATACCCCTGCTGCTGGTGGCGATGATGACACTCCGGCTGCTGGTGACGATGATGATGATACCGCCGGTGGCAAATAAGCTCACTAAGCGAGGATCACCAAGAGGAGCCTGCCTACCAGCAGGTATGAAAATGGAACTCAACGCAGGACAATGTGCAAACCCATTAATCTATATATTTTTACCATGTAGTATTCAGTTTATATAAATCGCAATAAATCGATATTCGCAAGCAAATCATTTGATTGTTACTGAGTGAGCAAAAGCCTTAATTGATTAAATCGATAACGTAATAGGAAACACCCCAGAAAATAGAAAACAAGTCAATATAAATTGGGTTCATAAACAAATGATGATACGATTACCTATAATTAGGAAAATTCCAGTAAATTGATGGCAAATGGCTCTTGTACCCTCTTCAATTATAACTTCTGATGATTAATTTATTTAAATATATTTCATTATCAGCGCGATCTGTCCGCTATTTTTAGAAGTGAACATGTAGTTTTGTCCACACTTACTTCTTTTATAGAACCTTATCTTCCAAAATTCTTTAAAAAATAAGAGCAAAACATTCAAATATCGCTGATTGCAAACACAACTTTTCGATTAGCCTTTGACAATCAGAGCCACACCCATGAGATCGACCTTATAAAAGGGCACGAAAGACACTAGTATAGGCATTTTGGAAACGCAGAGAACCAGCATCAGATTGAAATTTTAAACAAGAAAACACTACCATGCAATGCTCCTGGGCATTAGTTTTGGGACTGAGCATTGGCTTCCATTTGGGAGCGTGTAACTCCGAAGACAGGAGTTGGGAACTGCCAAAAGTTCGCCTAACAGTTGGTGATATTAGCCATGTGAGTATGCAAGTATTTAACTATGTTTTTAACTTTGAGAAAATACTTAAATAGGAGTTTTCTTGAAGAGTTTACTGGCATCATTTAAAGATTTATGCTTTCCTTTAGTTTTATTTTCATTAAGAAAGTCTTGAACCCACTTTCAGATCTGCGTGGGCAGACAGGAGGGTGAGTTGGTGTCCCATCCCTTGGACTGCAATGGCTACTTCTCGTGCTCCATGGTGCCCACCTTGCTGTACTGCGATCAGGGCCTCCACTTCGATGGCCAGCGTAAGATCTGCGATATTCCAGAGAAGGCCAACTGCCGGCTGGGTGATGCTAAAAAGAACGAGCTGAACTGGTGGTCCCATAAGCCACGTCCCGTCTTCGTGGCCGTGGATGTGACCAGTGGCCAGGCGGTGAATCCCATGGAGAAATACGATCCGGAGCATATAGAATGCCGGCACTACGGAGCCTACTTTCTACCCCATCCCACCAATTGCCGATTGTACTTCATCTGCGCCTATGGACACCTGCACCGTCATCAGTGCGGGCGTGGCACCTGGTGGAACTACGAGGTTTCCGAATGCCAGTTGGCCAATGAGGCCGTTTGCTACGGTGACTCTCGGGTTTCGGAGCAAATAACAGATGCCCAGATGTCGGTTGTGGAGGGCACTACCACACCAAGCAGCGGTGCTCCTGTGACCGTGTGCTATATTGTGGGATCTAGTGGACTCAGCACCTTGCAGCAATTCATCGGCATGGAACCGGAGGTCAGTGAAGTCACCGAAGTCATTGAGATGACACCTCCAACGGCACCATCACCGCCACGTGCCGACTCCACCAATACCTTGACCTGTCCGTCTACCATGCAGAGCTACATGTCGCATCCGGAGGACTGTAGCAAGTATTACATATGCATTGGTGGCATGCCAATCCTGACATCCTGCCCCAAGGGTCTCTTCTGGGATCAGAAGTCTGGATACTGCGAGATGGAGAAGAAAGTCAAGTGCTTCCAGAAGTGATTAATAAAAACAGCAACTCCCGTTCGCTTAATGGAGTTTTATTTTAAACATTTTAAATATCAACTGAAGGATGACAATTTGGAAAGTGTTCTTAAGGAACATTTTTTTAAATCTTCCTGTCCAAAAGTATGCTCTATGTAGTTTTTAAAGTAGTGCAAAGAATTCACATTTATCAAACAACATTGAAACAAAGTTCTTGAGGCTCTTTTGTCAATAAATAAAGGTCTTAAATACATATATTTCTTTAAATCAATCAGACCTCTTAATTCACATTCAATATTTATATTATTTTAAGAAAACCTACAGTGTTTTACAGTGTACAGTGATGTACAAATTAAATTGAAATGCGAAGCCTCCACAGATTTATTTTCATTTACTTACATTTGCATACACCATTTTAATATTATGTTAATTATACAGAACAAATATTACAAAAAAATTCAGGATTTCAGAAGTTTAACATATTTGTTAAAGAACCGTGGCCATAGTAAGCCTCTGCCACACAATGCTTCTTCGATGAGCAACTTCAGGGGTCTCCTTCTCCTTTTGATCAGATTGCCAGGGATAATCCTTCACGCTGCTCACAATTCGTTGCCAAAGTGTTAGGGAACTTGGCTCTAACGCTTCTCCATTGACGTTTTCAGCTGCAACACTACTGACCAAGAGCAGCAAGAATATGCCATATAGAGCAAATATAAATCCGGTGGCTGACCGCATTTTGAGTAAGGGATAAAGACGACTGATCTGGTTAGATATTATCATCTTGGCCACATGTCGAAATTCTGAATCTTATCAATAGAAAATATTTGAATACGCTGGGAATTGCTTTACAACAGATGGCGGATAAGATAGCAAGCACTAAAACATTAGTTGTATAAAAATTAAGTTCAGCCTAAAAGTGATCAACATAAAAACGTTGAAAGCATTTTTGTAAAAAAGTGTAGAATTAAAGAGCTTACTTATAAGAAAATCGTAAATATTTATTTTTATTTAATAACTACCAGATTTTAAGCAAACAGTTCAAACTAAGTTAATAACATTGCCATAGTTTAGATATAGATTAAATGGCCTTACAGATATAGTTTTAATGATATAACAAATAATATACTGTTGTATTGTAACCTGATTTGTTATACTTAGTTAATAAACTTGTCAAATAATAAGCATCTTCCGGTCTACTACTATCTTATAGAATTTCAAATATTTTCAGATAAGAACATAATATTTACAATATATACAATATATTTGTAAAAGGAAGTAAACTCTGAAAAATCTAAATATTTGCTCAATTGTGTGACTAATTTGTGTTAAATACCTTCTCTCCTTAAATATTTGTCATATTTTCCAGTAAACACACTTGCAAACATTTAGCAATTTAAACTTAATTTAATAACAGCCGTAAAATATCGTTAACTTATCACAAGGTAGGTCAAGGAAAAGAGACTGTCCCATGGATATTTTCAGGTGTTGAACTTTATTCAAAAATTCATAAATGATGTCATTCCATTCGGCATAACGAACTTTGAATGATTGTCCCTGATCTTCGCGCACATTGATCCGATCCGATCCATTCATTCATAAATTAGCCATAGATCAAGAGTAGGTCTGCTCGATTATGCTGCGAATATGATGTTTATATTACATATATGCTTAATCCTCATATGTTTTCGCTTAATTTAAATTTATTTTCTAAAGCAACCGAGCTCAATTAGGGCCCGGTCTTTTGCTGCTCAGAGCTCAGGCTAATCGGCGAGCTGTCGTCCAAGTAATTAATTCAGCCGTCTCTGTTGGCCAAACTCGTTGGTCGAACTCGGAGTCGCGTGACTCATTATATATACATATGTTATATCGCGAAATGGCGAACGGAACCAAAATTGTTTTTTTGTTTTTTTTTTTTTTGTCGACGAAGTAAATAAATAAAGACTTTTGCTGCGATCATCAAAAGGGGGTGATTCCAATTAAAATAGAAATAATCGTCCGTTGAATTTTGAATTTACTTTACACATTTATAAAACAAACAAATGCTTATTATAATTGGGCTAATAAGATCAGTGCAAGTTATTTGTAAGATCGATGCCCTTTTGTCGATTGAGCAATTTGTATTAAATTATGGACACTGATTAATGGACTCCCATATCAATATTGATTCACTGAAGGTTAAAATTGGCTCGCCCAGTGTTATATTTATACATTTTGCCTTGAACTTTATAGGAAGAGAGATATACTAAGGGTATGACCTATATTTATTAGATTATTTAGTTTTTAATTTAAATGTATTTAAATTAAAAATACTTCCGTATGTCAGTTGGAAAATCTTTGTGATTTACAAAAGCTGCAACTTAATAAATACTTTAATTTATTTTAGAATTACAAATCCTATTTTTAACACGTTCCACCTAATGAAAATCATAATTTTAATGAGCTTTTGACCGCCACTATAACATTTATTTTTAAGCTTCAAAGCTAACGGCGCAAATTCAAATTGAAAGTCAAGTTCAAATCCGCTTCTGTTTGCTTGTCACACCCTTCCTGCTGCGAATGAATTAATAAATACACATGCGGGCAAAAATTTAAATACATATAGATATAAATCTCAAAAGCTAAAAAAAAATTGTAACATTTTATCAACACTCATTTTATTTGATTGTAATCTATAATAAATTTCTATTAACTTAAAGGAATATATTATTTAATAAATTATTATAAATATAGATATATACATATGAAATCCAAAAGTTATGTTTCTTGAAATTCCGGTTTTTATAAATAATTTATAAGGTGCACTTTTTAAAAAGTAACATTAAATCTTTTGGACCTAATGCTTTGCCCATTAGTGTTTCCACATAACTACCTAAATAAAGAATGTTACGTAGGGGCTTAAATGACACCCTGTATGCCGACAGCTGATGTTGCGCCGTCGCACTTTTAACCAAACAAACACTGACACACACGTTCCAAGTTGTAAGAGAGCAGGAGCGGAAGAGTCAGTTCCTGTGCTCTTTGCAAATGAGTAATTCACTAATTCTAATTACAGTGTTTCCAATTTAGATATTTTAAGGCAAAGGTGGGCCGTTCTTTTATTTTATCTAGTTTTATCAAAAACCTTATCTTAAGGCAATTTTACAAAATTTATTTTATATTTTTCAAAGTCGAAAAGCAAAATTTTAACCCAATAGCTTAATAAATAAATAGTAATAAAAAACTAAAATTTTATTAACTCTAGTACTTTACCATAGTTCATATCAAAATAATGTTTTCCTTTTCAAAACTCACTTATATATTTATTTATATATTTGTCAAGCGGCCGCCACAGTGCCTTGGGTAAAAGAGAAATGAAGAGAGCGCAAAAGAGCAAGTTTTATGCTCTCTGCTTCCAGACTGTCGCTCTTGCCGTTTCGGCTGCGACGACGATCATTTAAAAAAAAAAGCTTCAACCGCGCGGAGTTCTTTTCGCCGCGTTCGTTCGTCGTCCGCAAATAGTTTTATTTTTTTACTTTATTTTGTTTTCCTTAATTTAAATTTAATTTCTTTCGCGAGTGACGACTTATGGCAGTTCCAAGCACCTAATAAACGTCGGAATAGTTGCTGATTTTGTTATTTGTTGTTGGCAATTCGCGTCGCGTCGGTTTTCCGCGTGTCTCTTTTTTTCGCGGTCCGTTATAGCCACCTGAGAAACGCATTTGAAGGGGCAACGGCAACAGCTGTGGCGCAAAAAAGTATATGTACAAGTGCAAAAAAGGTGGCGTTGTTTAATAGAAAATTTATAAACGAAAAGGTAGAGCCGCAATCAAAAATTAAAACGTGCAAAAAGTCTGTGAGAGCGGTGCGTGTGTTTTACAGTTGGAGAGAGCGCTGTGTTCTCGCCTCCTTCTCTTTCCATATATTGCGCAAGCAGAAGAGAGAGCGTACTACATGCTTGTTTTTATATAAACCCCCCTTCCGAATATATATTAATGTGCGTGAAAATATATAATTTATTAGATTATTTTAACACGTATTAGAAACAAAAACAAAGGCGATTCGTAGTGCAATTTCTTTGTGACAAAACAAAGATCGCTCCAAACTCAAAAAAAAAATCGAGCAAGGCCCAATGTGACAGTGTGAGTGCGCGCCAGTGTTCGTGTTTGTGTGTGTGTGAAGAGCGCAAGCGTCGCTTCGCAATGCGAATGTTAATGAAAAACACAAACCGATGAAAATCGACGGCAGCTAAAAAATCACAACATTATCACAACAAATAACAACAATAGCAAAAACACACAAACAGCAGCCACAACAACAATTCGGCAAACGGAAACTACGGCAGGCAGGCAAGTCCATCAAAAAAAAAAATATATGTATATAAAAACAGCACAGCGACAGCGCGCCCCGCTCACGAAATTAACTTAAAAGCTGATAAGACTCGAAGGGTAAATACTCGAATTGCTAACTCTTTGCTCTTTGCCAAGTGCCGCCGTCTCGCTCTGACTCGTATCAGCTGGGCCCATATATTATAAAGGTCGGAACTAGCCGGTATTTAATGCCCTGCACTCAACGGGCCATGTTAATTATCGCCTAGAATTAGCAGAACGCAAATGCATACTTATTTAAATAGAGGGTATCGAGATGGGAAAAACTAATGGAGGCTTAGAACTAAATTCCTATAGGACATTTTTAACAATTTTTCTTTTTATGTGGAGTGATTTCCGACCCTATAAATCATATATATTCTTGATCAGCATAGCCGAATCAATTTAGCAATATTTGGAGCTTAGTTATGATCGGTTTCCGATACGATTCTAGAATTCAATTCCAAGCTGCAAGGGTATATAAATTAAGGGTTCCCAAGTTAGTTCCCTCTCTTCTTTCCTTTACAAATTTTCACCGAAGATTCTCAAACCGAATAAATTTAAACTTTTAGTTTTTTGTATAACAATACCGTTTACAAGGATAACTTCCTGACTAAGCTTTTAACAAGGTCGCCCTTCCCTGAGATTCATAGTGAGTTTGCACTACATTTAATACGTTTTACGATAAGTAAGTGCGTTTATCTGGACAGTTGTGTTTTTGGGCAACAACTTGAACTAACCTAGTACACCTAATAGACACTCTTGAGGTCTGGACAGATAAATGTGTGGACACGTGCTGGAGATGGCATTATCGCCCGCTATCAAAAGCGCTTAATCTAACAAGTACGTGAGAGGCAAACAACAGGCTGGTCGCGGATTTATGTAACATGCATATCATCATCAAAGTGACAGTTCTGAGGCCAGTTTTCATTGCCCCAAAAGCCTTATCACATGGAGCTAGCATAATGCACCCAAAAAACCTTTTCAACTCGACCATTTTGCCACGCAATTCGATTTGCTTTTGGACTCGAACAGAGCTCATAGTTCGATTCGTCTCGCAACCGGTTTGGGTTCCTGCAAACTTACACTCATCTCGTATTGGAAAACATCTCGCAGGAACTCTATGCAACGAGCCATCAATCAGTGGCTACAGTAAAACATCAGTAACTAGAACCTAACTCGGTTTAATACTCAAAATTTTTAAAGTTTGGGGAGGCAGGTTTGGGAACCATTCTTCAAGATCAGAGATTTAAAATAAAAGTAGATAACGAATCATTCATGAATCAGTCAGCACCAAATCAGAATATAATTCTTAACCAGTCCGAAGAAATCTGAATTATCAAACATAAAAGTAAGAATAGTAAATTAAACTATCTTCTTTATTCCAATAAAACAAT